CATACAAATTTTAGTTCTGTGAAGATATCCTTGGTATTCTAATAAGGACTGCATTGAATCTGTAGATTGCTTTGTAGTATGGACATATAAACAATATTAATTCTTCCAATCCATGAGTATGGTATATTAATTCTTCTTTAAATGTTTGGTAGAATTCACCTGTGAAGCCTTCTGGTCTAGGACTTTTTTTGTTGGAAGTTTTTTGATTATTGATTCAATATTGGTATGAGTAATTGTTTTTTTCAGACTTTGTTCCTGATTCAGTCTTGGAAGTTTGTAAGTTTCTAGGAATGTATCCATTTCTTCTAGCTTGTACAATTTTGTAGCATATAATTTTTCACGGTAGTCTCTTACAGGCCTTGATACTTCTGTGGTGTTGGTTATAACTTCTCTTTCATCTCTGAGTATATTTGAGTCCTCTTTCCTGCTTGAGTCTGGATAAAGGTCTATCAATTTATCTTTTTAAAGAACCAAATCTTAGTTTCATTGATTTTTTTTTTTAGTCTCTAATCATTTATTTCCATTCTAATCTTTATTAGTTCCTTCATTCTATAACTTTGGGCTTTGTTCTTTTTCTAGCTCTTTTAGGTATAAGGTTAGATTGTTTGAGATTTTTCTTGTTTCTTGAAGGAGGCCTATATTGCTATAGACTGCCCTCTTAGAAGTGTTTTTGCTGCCTCCCAAAGATTTTGAACTGATGTGTGTCCATTTTCATTTGTCTGCAGGTATTTTTTTATTTCCTCTTTGATTTCTTTGTTGACCCATTGGTTAATGACATGCTGTTTAACCTCTATGTGTTTGTGGGGTTTTTCTCCAGCTTTTTTCTTCTAATTAATTTCTAGTTCCATACCATTGTAGTGGGGGAAAAATGCATGATTTCAAACTTTTTGAATTTATTGAGACTTGTTTTGTGGCCTAACCTCTGATCTATCCTGGAGAATATTCCATGTGTACTTGCAAAGAATGTGTATTCTGCTGTTTTAGGATGAAATGTTCTCTATATATCTGTTAAGTCCATCTGATCTAATATGTCATTCAAAGCCACTGTTTTCTCTATTGATTTTCAGTCTGGGTGTTCTCTATCCATTGATGTATTGGGGTGTTAAAGTCCCCTACCAGTATTGTATTACTGTCAATTTCTCCCTTTATGTCTGGTTTTTTTTAAGATTTTATTTATTTGAGAAAGTGAGAGAATACGAGCAGAGGGGGAAGGGCAGAGGCAGAGGGAGAAGCAGAGCACCCCCTCCCTCTCCTCCCCCTGTGCTGAGCAGGGAGCCTGATATGGGGCTCAATCCCAGGACTCTGGGATCATGACCTGAGCTGAAGGCAGATGCTTAACCAACTGAGCCACCCAGGCACCCCTCCCTTTATGTCTGTTAATATTTGCTTTATATAATTAGGTGCTCCTATATTGGGTGCCTAGATATTTACAACTGTTGTATCTTCTTGTTGGATTGATCCCTTTATTATTGTTACGCCCTTCACTATCTCTTGTTAATGTTTATATTGCCTGATATAAGTATTATTACCCCAGCTTTCTTTTCATTTCCATTTGCATGAAATATCTTTTCTCATCCTTTCACTTTTAGTCTGTATGTATCTTTAAGTCTGAAGTGAGTCTCTTGTAGGAAGCATATAGATGGGTCTTGTTATTTCATCTTTTGATTGGCGCATTTAGCCTACTTATACTTAAAGTAATTATTAATAAGGGGTGCCTGGCTGGCTCAGTCAGTACAGCATGCGACTCATGATCTTGGGGTTGTGAGTTCAAGCCCCATGTTGGGTGTGGAAATTACTTAAAAATAAAATCTTTAGGGATGCCTGGGTGGCTCAGTTGGCTAAGCCTCTGCCTTTGGCTCAGGTCATGATCCCAGGGTCCTGGGATCAAGTCCCATATCAGGCTCCTTGCTCAGAGGGGAGCCTGCTTCTCCCTCTACCTGCTGCTCCCTCTGCTTGTGTGGCTCTCTTTCTCTCTGACCAATAAATAAAATCTTAAAAAAAAATAAAATCTTTAAAGCAATTATTGATAAGTGTGTATTTATTGCCATTTTATTAATGGTTTCTTTTTAAAGATATTATTTATTTAGTTGATAGAGACACAGTGGGAGAGGGAGAAGCAGGCTTCCCGCTGAGCAGGGAGCCCGATGTGGGACTCGATCAGGGCCTGAGCCGAAGGCAGACGCTTAACAACTGAGCCACCCAGGCACCCCTTATTAATGGTTTTCTGGCTGTTTCTGTAGTCCTTCTATGTTCCTTCTCTTGTCCTCTTCCCTTGTGATTTGATGACTTTTAGTGTTATGTTTGGATTCCTTTCTCTTAATTTTTTGAGTATCTATTACAGATTTTTGGTTTGTGGTTATCACAACTATGTATATAGCAGTCCATTTTAAGTTGATGGTCACTTAAGTTTGAAAACATTCTAAAAGCACTACATTTTTACTATTTCCCCCACACCCCAGTTTTCTGTCTTTGGTGTCATATTTTACATCTTTTTATTTTGTGTATCAATTAATTTAGAGATGGCTGATTTTACTACTTTTGTCTTTTAATCTTCATACTAGTTATAAGTGACTGATCCACTATCTTTATGTTTGCTTTTTTTTTTTTTAAGATTTTATTTATTTATTTGAGAGCGAGAAAGAGAGAGAGAGCATGAGAGGGGGAGGGTCAGAGGGAGAAGCAGACTCCCTGCCGAGCAGGGAGCCCGATGCGGGACTCGATCCCGGGACTCCAGGATCATGACCTGAGCCGAAGGCAGTCGCTTAACCAACTGAGCCACCCAGGCGCCCCTTTATGTTTGCTTTTAACAGTGAGATTTTTTTCTTTCATAATCTTCTTCTGGTTATGGCCTTTTCTTTTCCACTTAAATAATTCCCTTTAACATTTCTTGTAAGGCTGGCTTACTGGTGATGAGCTCCTTTAACTTTTGTTTGTCTGGGAAGCTCTTTCTCTCTCCTTCAATTGTCACACCATAACTACAAAATGATTACACCTCATTCAAGCCTATAAAATAGCAATGCAGATAGAGAAGTGAACACAGAGTGTCTCAAGAGCTCAAAACCTACAACTTAAAGGACCCCTATACCATGTGACCAGAATGAGTGAGTCAGAGATGAGTGGTAACAACACAGAAAGACCTCCTTCCAGATTACGTCTTAAACAATATAGTTATTTTTCACATTTCCTAGGAAAATATTAAAATTAAGACCTAATAATGCCATCTAACAGCATCCAGAATAGCCAGAATCATCTTGGAAATAAAGAACAAAGTTGGAGGATCAAATTTCCCAATTTAAAGCCAACTATAAAGCTGTAGCATTCAAGACAGTGTGGTACTGGTGTAAGGACAGACAAAAAAAAAAAACAAAACACCATGTACAGGAATGTTCATAGCACTATTTATAATAGCCAAAATGTGGGGGCAACCCAAATATCCAACTGGTGGATAAACAAATGTGGTATAACCATACAATGAAATACTCATCCATAAAAAGAAATGAACTATTGATTCATGTTTAACATCAATGATCCTTGAAAACTTAGATACTAAGTGAAAAAGCCAGATCCAAAGGCCACATATGATTCCATTTATATAAATTGTCTAGTATAGGTAAATCTACCAAGACATAAAGTATATTGCCAGGGAGTGGAGGGAAGGAGAAGAGAGAGTGACTGCTAATGGGTAGGGGGTTTCTTTTTGGGGTGATGAAATGTTCTGGAATTCAACAGTGGTAATGGTTGCATGACCTTGTGAATACACTAAACACTACTGAATTGTACACTTTAAAAGGATGAATTTTATGGTATGTGAATTATATTTCAATATAAAAATATCATCCATGGGGGCGCCTGGGTGGCTCAGTTGGTTAAGCAACTGCCTTCGGCTCAGGTCATGATCCCGGAGTCCCAGGATCGAGTCCCGCATCGGGCTCCCTGCTCAGCGAGGAGCCTGCTTCTCCCTCTGACCCTCCCCCCTCTCATGTGCTCTCTGTCTCTCTCATTCTCTCGCTCTCAAATAAATAGATAAAATCTTAAAAAAATATATATCATCCATGGGCAAGTTAAACATCGTTAAAACTGCCTAACTTAACAGAAATGAAGCAGACCACCTGGGAAGAACAGGTGTGCTGCAATGATTGACACTTAAATTAGCTATCTGATTAAATATAATGATAGAGTCACACTATGCAAGCTGGCTGAGAGACAATATAACACTGAATTGGAGTTTGTACATAAGAACTGTGTGTGTGTATATATACACATACATATTTATATACACACACCCCCTATTTCAGGACTCTGTCATGGAACAATGTCAAAATATAGTTCATCTGGTATCCAATAACAAAATCCTTGGTTAGTATCTCAGGAGATTTTTCATTACATCAAATTTCACACTATTTCCTCAATATACTAATGATCTAGTTTATTACTTCTTATTTAAATTATAGCAACAGGCCTGTTACCACAATTGTACATAAATTAACATTTACATCTGTACCAGATATAAATTCTCATATGTTTTAGAAAAGTAGAGACTATGACATATCATAAGCCAGCATCATAAATTTTGTTATGGTTCAAAATTCTGGCTCTGGAGTAAAAGAGATGCAGGTTGGAATCCAAGCTTCCTTATTTACTGGTTATTTAACTTTGAACTAGTTACCTAACTCTTCTACAGGTAACAATACTTCCTATGACTCTTAGGAGAATTAAATGAGTTAACACATGTGAATCATTTAGCATTGTGCTAGACACCTATTCAGCATTCAATAAATGTTATTACTGTCATTAAATTTAATAAAATGTAATGGTACTTATTTTCTCGGGGGTAATAAATACTTACCACAGAGAAGATTGTTCCATGGACAATGCTATAACATATTAATATTTAAGATATAAACATTACAATTCAACTCATTCTAGCATGTATTAGCTATAATTCAAGTTTAAAAATCTATGAAAACACATAACTGCGCGTATTAAAACAGGAAACTTACTGATGTGACTCTCAAGTCCTGCTTCCAGTTTCTTCAGCCACAATAAAAGGTTTTGTTCAGTGATAGCCTGGTCTGAAGGAAATGCAAATACTTGGCCACCTGAATGCAGATTGACCATAACAAGAAGAGGAAGGGGAGGCAGAGCATCAAAATATGCCTCCAAGATTCCTCTTCCCACAGGAGTATTCTTTCTGCAAAAGGGAGCAACTGAACACGTTAATATTTCTCTCTCTAACAAAATTATGAAAATAAAAGGTTGTGGAACATTAAACTTTAAATATAGTATCATGTCATTAAGTTTATTTTATAAAAAGAGATCTTAAAAACCAAGAGGTCTATAACTATGTTATTAGTAATCAGATTCTTAATGAGTTTCTTTTAATGTGGGCACTGTGTTTCTCTTAGGGCAAAAAAAAAAAAAAGGCAGTCAATGACTATTTTCACGAAAACCAGTTATAGTTCAAAGATCTGTCAATTTGGGTTTGATATAATCAACAGGTTCCTTCCAAAGCTGAGCCAAGTATCTGATCACATGTCAACTTAAAAATTAAATGGTTACAAAATATAAAATATTTATAATAAATACTTCTTCTCCAAATAAAGTTGTTTTTCCTCAGGAACAAAGAGAAGGGGTTAATTTCAAATTAAAAACATTTTTTAAAAGTTTTGGTCATACACAGAAACCATAACTTTTAAGATACCTAGGTTTCCTAAAACAGCACATTCCACACTATGGAAAATACTGTTTTACTCTGAGATACCTACAAAGCCCTGGGAAAATTTTGTCTTAAGCAGTATGTTGTACTGTTGGTGAACTCTTCATGGGAAAAAAAAAAAATGTACATTGCCTCATTCTTGTAATTTTTCAAATGAATTAAAAATGTCTTCATTTGATGAATTTGAACAATAGATAGTATTTATGTGAACTGTGTTCACAGACATTAAATGTAACACAAGCCATACATCTAGAAAACCTAACAGAAAATATTGTTGGTGAATGCACTGAAAATTATCTGTAACATTTTAGGCTGCATTTTAAAAATATAAAAGTGCAGAAAAAGGAACTGAAGAAAAATGCCAAAATATCACAATGTTTATTTTTCTGTATTTGCTTCAATGGATATCAATTACTTTTAAAATTAAAAAAATTACTACTTCTTAAAATTTGTATGACACCAAAAGGAAAAGGTAACATAAATAAAAAATAAGTGGACTACATCAAATTGAAAAGCTTCTGCATAGCAAAGGAAACCATCAACTAAATGAAAAGGCAACTTTTGGAATGAGAGAAAATATTTGCAAATCATCTATCTGATAAGGGGTTTATATCCAAAATAACTAAAGAACACACATAACAGCAAAGAATACAAACAATCCAATTTAAAAATTGGCAGAGGAACTGAATAGACATTTTTACAAAGACGACACATATGGCCAACAGACACAAGAAAAGATGTTCCACATCACTAGGGAAATTAGAGAATGCAAAACAAAACCACAATGAGATACCACCTCAACCCTGTTAAAATGACTAGTATCAAAAAGACAAAAGATAACAAATGTAAAGAAAAGGGAACCCTTGTACCCTGTTGGTGAGAATGTAAATTGGTACAACCACAACCTCAAAAAACTGAAAGAGAACTACCATCGATCCAGCAATCCTACTGCTGGGTATTTATCCAAAAGAGATGAAAACAAGACAGTGAAGAGATATATGCACTCCCGTGTTTATTGCAGCATTATTTGCAATAGCCAAATACGGAAACAACCTAAGATGTGGTACATATACAATGGAATATTATTATTCAGTCATGAGAAAGAAGAAAATCCTGCTCTTTGCTACAACATGGATGGACTCTGAGGGCATTAGGCCAAGTGAAATAAGCCAGACAGCGAAAGACAAATACTACATGGTATCACTTATGTGAAAAATCAAAAAGTCAAACTCACAGAACCAGAGTAGAAAAGTGGTTGCCCGGGACTCAGTGTTGGGGGAAATAGGAAGAGATTGGGAAAAGGAAAGAAACTTTCAGCTGTAAGATGAATAAATAAGGTCTGAGGATCTAACGTATAACATGGTGACTGTAGTTGTGAACACTATATAACTGAAATTTGCTAAGAGAGTAGAACTTAAATGTTCTTACTCCCTCCCTATATATATATATATATATAATGTGAGGTAATGAATATGTTAATTACATGGAAGAATCCTTCCACAATGTATACATGTATCAAATCACCACAATGTACACTTTAAATATCTTACAATTTTGTCAATTATACCTATATACCCCTGAAAAAAAAATAACATTCAGCAAAATAAAAAATTTATTGTAGAACAGAATTCAATCTAAAACAAGGTCATCTTAGACCATGAGGAAGTTTAGTTACTAAACTATCATAACTTATACACTGGTCCCATAATATTAACTCCAAAGACATAGTTAGAAAGTTTCATTTCCTGGGGCGCCTGGGTGGCTCAGTTGGTTAAGCAACTGCCTTCGGCTCAGGTCATGATCCTGGAGTCCTGGGATCGAGTCCCGCATCGGGCTCCCTGCTCAGCAGGGAGTCTGCTTCTCCCTCTGACCCTCCTCCCTCTCATGCTCTCTGTCTCTCATTCTCTCTCTCTCAAAAAAAAAAAAAAAAAAGTTTCATTTCCTAATGAAAATGTAATCATTATAGTTTCTTCCCTTTTACATATTAAAAAATAAAAATATACTTACAGATTTAACCAGCAAGGGGTAAGTGAATCCAAGTGTAATAAAAATATACTTACAGATTTAACCAGCAAGGGGTAAGTGAATCCAAGTGTTTCTCATTTACCAGCGTCAATATTGCTTTTTTATACTGAGGATTTATGCTGCCGTCACTGAATAAAATAAATAATGGTTTCTGAAGTCTTAAATAAATGGGAAGATTTTCCACAGTGATTTCTGGCTGTTAAAAAAACAAACAAACATGGAGAATGATGAGATAAAATAGAAAATAGCGTTCAAATCACTCATGCAATTTTAGTTTCTAAAATGTAATTCAAACATATTTTAAGTGGAGATTTTGTAATACTGACTAATAACTATAAATATCAAGAGCTTTTTATTTAAGCTCACTTTATCTTAGTTATTTCCAAAATAAAGCTAATTTGAAGATAAACAAGTTCCCTGTTTTACAAGGATGTACCACTTCTAATAATTTCTTATGCTAAAATCTGGACCAGATTAGACAACACACATATGACAAACAAAACTCTTATTGTATCTAACATAAAATTTTTGGGGAAAAAATGCTGAGCTCTAAAGATATAATCCTTCAACATCTATGATTATTTAAAATAAAAATCTTATTTTGTTTCAATATTTATGATTTTAGCATAATTAATATAATCAAAACATGTTTAAACAAATAAAAATATCAGTCTCATTTCTTTTCAGTTTAAGCCCAAATACCAAACTCCAGTATGTACTTTTCCTTATTTAGTTCTCAAAGCCACCTTCCTCTGCCAATTCTCATTTTTCTTCTAATTCTTTCTCTTTCACACTCGAAATCCTCTTCTCAGGTTTTTAATCCACTTTCATGACTTAAATCTTAGATCCCCTCTTTCCAAATTTCCCTATGTTGTCTTCTTATGTTAATTTTCATCCTTAATCTTCTACACAAGTTATATCCCCTTCCTAAAATTGATAGACCTCATCAGGCCGGCAGATCTCCTCACTCTGAACAGATCTGAAACGAGGGGAGATGGAGCCACCACTACAAAGTTCAAAATGTTAATGCTGGGCACTGAATCAGAAAGAAGGAAGATACTCTCCCTGCCCTTAAAGCGCTCCTACTCTCAAGGAGGAGACAGGTAGACAAACTGCTGTGAGCCAAGAAAATTTAATGTAGGACAACAAAATTAAGCTAAAAAAAACCAAAGTATGGGAGCTCATGGATGATTTTAGGAAGTGATATTTAATCTGACCTTGGGCAAGAAATAAGATCTTGACAGAAGAAGGTATGTGCTAGAGCCGGGATTCCCGATATAGGGAGCATCATGGGGATAGGCAGAGAGCTGTGAGAGCATTCATGCCATCTGGGAACAGTGAGGCATGCAAGAGGCAAATGTGGCTGTAAGACCAGATGGGAAAATACCTTGATAGGTGTTCTAGCTCTCAGAAATACTGAGAAGATCTTGTATCAAATGAGCGGCATGGTTATGCCTGTTTTAGAAAGCTAACTCGAATACGAATCTGTGAAAAGACAGACCGGTGACAGGCATTTCAGGGAAGAAAGACCAAGAGTTCTGTGAGTTGAGGAGGAAAAGATCAGGACCTCAGATTTAGGAATCATCAGTTGGTAATACTGATGGTAGAAATTGTGGGTATGGACAAAATTTCCGAAAGAAAGAAGAGCAAAAAGAAGAAAAAGACTGAAGGTTGAAGATGGAATTCTAGAGTGGCCAGAGGGTTGAAGGAGGTATCTGGAGAGGACTGAATTGCAAAAGCCAGAGGAACAGAGAATTTTGAAAAGAAAAAGCATTGTCAGTAGTTTTGGTTGCTACTTACAGAGAAGGTCATCAAACATGGTAATAGGAAGGTGTCCTTTGGCTATCTGAGTATACAAGAGGCTGTAACTTATCCATAATAAAAGCATAATTAAAGGAAATTAACATATCTGAGCAAAGTGCTATTAAACTATGTTTAAACGTGACAGCCTTGAATAGATCATTGCTTATGTAGTTAATTATCGTGTATTTCAGATTTGGGCATTATTTACCTAGCCTGATTTATCATCAGGTTCATTAAAATAAAAACTGAATGCCATATAAAAAATGTTTACTGTCTGTTCACCCATTTCTCCTTCCTATCCAGATGAAGAAACCAAAGTCTTTCTAGCACCTTAGTGCAGATGAGGAGATGAGCTTGTGGCTGGCTGGCTGGCTGCTACATACTCCAGACTTAAATCTCCAACATAGGGCAGCTTTAAGAAATTTAACCACCTTGGGCTCCTGGGTGGCTCAGTCAGTTAAGTGTCTGCCTTTAGCTCAGGTCATGATCCCAGAGTCCTGGGATCGAGTACCACATCGGGCTCCCTGCAGAGCAGGGAGCCTGCTTCTCCCTCTCCCTCTCTCTGTCTCTCATGAATAAATAAATAAAATCTTTTAAAAAAATTTAATAACTATTTGAGGGTTTTAGAATTTATGGAAAGGTCATAAACTAAACGCAAAACAATTTTTTATTATAGCTGTTCGGTTTTTAGTCAAACGCTGTAAACCAAAACACTATAAACTGGAAACACTGCCACAACGCTTAACTTATAAACAGATTCTGATCGTTAAGTTTGCCCCAAGTTTCTCAGCCTTAAAGAATATAATCTTAAAAAATAGATGCCAATTTTTTATTCATCAGTCAAGCAAAGATGAAAGAGTAAAATGTTCTAATCTCTTCTCATGCAAAACAGGAACAAGTATCAGCAGCCTTAAACATGTGCATGCCCTTTGGACTAGCAATTCAAATCTGTGCATTTACCATGAGTATGGAATCATGGAAACACCCAAAGATTATGCACAAGGCTGGTCCCTGAGTAAAACTAAAGACAACTTAAAATTCATCAACAGGAAAATAAATTGTGGCTTTTTTAGTGCAACAGAATATTATACAGATATTAAAAAAAAAAGTATGTATATCTTCATTTCTTTATGGAAATATCCCTTAATATAAAAAGACAATCACACAGATACACATGGAATTTTTTTTTTTGTTTGAGAAAATATTTCCCCCAATTTAAATTTGGTCAAAGAGGATATGGTTGATTCCAATTTTCTTCTCTTAATAGTTCTCTGTATTATCTGGGAAAAGGAAGGTAAAGGCTTATAATAATTCCAAAAATATTACACTATGTATATGGTTAAGGAAATATTCATTTAATAACATGTCATTAAATACAAAAATGTTACCTCAATAATTTGGAAAACTACATCCTGAAAATATTAATGATCTGATTTTAATTATAGCCTGTAACTTTAATGGGAAGAGGGGAGGGAACAGAACCAAGGTAACAAAAAGATTTAATAAAGGCTACAGCCATTATTCTGAGCCTAAAATGTAATGTTATTTAGACCATCATGGCAAGACACATAACAAGAGGAGGATATTCATTTAGTATTTATAGCTGATAATAATGCTTCTTATGTCACTTTAGAAATGCAGAAAAGCATAAATTTACAATATTCTAGCTATGTTTAACATAAATACAAAAACAACTGAAATTGAGAAATGCAGGTTACAACTGTTATGCCCCTGAATTCACTATTTTCAAAGGAAGCAGTGGAAAAGGCTTTTCATAAGACACTATTTTGTCCCAAAACTGTGTAAGTAAGAATACTAGCTAACATTTGTTGAACACTCACCACGGGCCAAATATGACACAGAACACCATACACATGTCTCACTTAGTCTTCACAATTAAGTCTCCGCAGCAGGTGCTATGACCACCTGCATTTTACACGCGGCAGAGAGAAGTCAAGAGCCAGTAAGCAATCAAGCAAGGATCTGAAGCTGAGTAGCCTGACTCTCCAAAATCCATGTGCTTTATATATATATACACCAAGTTTCAGCCTAGATTAAGTACTTCCTTCAACTGGCCATCAGCTACACTAGTCTCAGCAGTAAAAATAATCCAAAGACATGTAAACTTTCGGCAGTGGACTGGAGAAGCTGTACGCATAATGACTGAACAATGACACAGAGCAACCTGGTGAATCTTCAGCTCACAAAATGTCATGCCCTGTGCCAACAAAAGCTGGAAAATGGCATATTAAAACAGACTATTTTTAACTGGTCTCGATTTTATTTTAAATAACATCCTTATTACAAAATATACTCACAAATGTTTCCAGTAATGCATCTGTTATTATTTGAACTATGTCTTGTGCAGGGGAGTTAGCTAATGGAATGCTCTCTATTTCGCCTTCTTTGTGTCTGGCCAGCACCAGGGCTGGAAGGGTTGCAGCGTATTTGTGTGACCTATGGAGAAACGCAGTACTAAGATTTCCAATAAAATACAGCAAGTCGTCAAAAACATAAACAATTAGTCCGTGCGATCAGGGTGGGAAGTAGCAAATGAGGAAGCCCTACCACTAAAGAAAAAAATGAACTCAATTTCCCAGCAAACTTATCTTCTGTGTAAGGCTGAGGAAGTTCAGGAGCCTTGACAACCTAGATTAAAAGAAAGCAACAGAAAATAATACAGCCAGATTTTTTGTTTTTTTCCTCTAGACAACTTACCATCAAGAAAATGTCTAAACAGGATTAGGAACATACTGCATGGCTCTCAACCCTTTTGGACTGCTCACCATACTGCTGAGCAAGGAGAAAAGTATTTACTAGAAACCTATCATTTTCCAGGCACTCTTTCAGGTACTTTCGTTTTTATTTAACCCTCAGAATGGCCGTATAATGAGGCCACTATCACCTGCATTTGATAGATGAGGAAACCAGGACTCAGAGAGTGATAAATGGCAGAGACAGAATTCAAAGCAAGGTGCCCCAGATAAAAAGTCTATGCTCTCTCCACTGTAACCGAGCCCAAATCTGCTCCTTCTTACCACTACGTATGCTAACGAGAAAGGGAAATCACTAAATTAAATAGGAAAAAAATGCTTGGTGTGAAATGACCCGTGAGGTAGTCACATTTATATCATGTAAAATCTCAACTAATGCTAAAACAAAGTATAGATGTTATAATACTAAAAGCATTAGTAGAGGGTCCAGTCTTCAAATTACCTGAAAGACTCTCTTAATTGATTAGCTGACCACAGCTAAATGCACCATGACAGCAGAGTAGAAGATAGTAGGTGACTGTCCATGTGTCAGGTGAACAGGTCTCATACTTTCTAAAGATCTGGAGTTCAGTATGATTTCATGGATAGAAATGGAGCTTAATCATGAAGAGCATATGTCACCAGTGTTCAGGATGAAAGATGTAAGCCCAGAAATCACAATAGGAATATTACAGTCAGGAGGTAAGCAAGACAAATTATTGGGACTTACCAACTCCACTTGCACCTGAAAATAAGCCATTAATGCAGAATGTGATGTACATGTATTACTGTATGTATTGTTTATGCATTAATAATCTCCAAATTTTCAGTTCAGTCCTTCATTCTGAAGCAACTATCTGGTAGTTCACAAGAGTCCTACATTCTACAAATAAAGCAACTAATGTGGGTAAAAAAAAGCACTGATTTAGTATATGTTTGCAATAACTTAAAATTAGGTAGAACTGTCAGGTATAGTTATATCACCTAAAACTCTGGTAGAAATATGAGAAAATTCTGATTTTTACATATACCTTGGTGGCAAATCAAAACCCAGACACTCAAGATGTAAAATTCCCCCAAAAACTTTGATAATTCCAAAGAACCAAAACTGCAGGTAATAGAAACAAAAGAGGAAATTTTTTATAGGAAGATGAAATAGTATGAATCCAAGGTTTTCCCTATGGGGACTCTAGCCTAAAGCAAAAGAGTATCTAAAAATTCTAAATAGCCAGGTGGTACTTCCCAGATCTTCTTCGAAGAAAATTAAAAATTTAGTTATATTGCTGACCTATTTTCCTTCATCAACTGTGTAAAGACAAACAATATATTATTTTGCAAACTTCTTCCTCTCTAAAATTAGAAGACCAACAAACTTACAGTATCAAAACATCATCTTCAGAATAAATTCCAGTGATAACACATCCTTTTAGGTAGTTTCCTGCTTCAGTGAAATCTTCTTTTGCTATAAATACATAGACAAGACAAAAATCTGAAACCTTTAAAATTATGTGTGCTGATCAACTGACATTTATAAATGGTTGTAATTTATTATTAATTATAAAGACAAATATTTACAGGTAGACCTCATATAACTTAGCGGTTCTAAAATAAATCTGTGTTCTTTTTTTTTTTAAGTTTTTTTTTTTAAGATTTTATTTATTTATTTGAGAGAGAGAGAATGAGAAACAGAGAGCATGAGAGGGAGGAGGGTCAGAGGGAGAAGCAGACTCCCCGCCAAACAGGGAGCCCGATGCGGGACTCGATCCCAGGACTCCAGGATCGTGACCTGAGCCGAAGGCAGTCGCCTAACCAACTGAGCCACCCAGGCGCCCAAATCTGTGTTCTTTTTATGACCTTTGATTACTACAGAAATGTAAATTGATATAATGTAATTATGGTTCCCTAAACAAATGTACTCTATATGTGATTTATCAAATTTATAGCACTCTAATCATAGCACATCTAATCAGTAACTCAACAGAGTTACTGAATAAATATTTGTTGCTTTTTAATTTACTCCTAAGGTAAGGTAAATGGAAACAGCTATCTTATACATAGCCTGGAAAGAGAAGCAGTATGTGAAATGATGCACACATTATCATCACAAATCTAGAAGTCTATATGCACAGAAAAAAATAGAAGACTAGAAATTCTAGTCCTTTAACAGTATCTGTGTTAGGATTCTGCAATTATGAGGGATCTGTGTCTTTTTATATTTCCCATATTTTCTGTAATGTGTTTTTGTTACTTTTGAACTTTGATTAATTTGTGTATCAGTCTTTTTTCATTTGTTAGGATATAGATATTAAAAAATTATTTCAGGAGCTTTCTGAATACATTTCCATAAATAACAGTATATTCTGGATCATGTTAATGTGTATTTTATAACCAAGAAGCAAGTCTGAATTAAACAGTCATAGACTAATGAGAAAAGAACAGAGGTAAACTTATATAAATGATGTATTCTTGGGGCACCTGGGTGGCTTAGTTGTTAAGCGTTTGCATTCGGCTGAGGTCATGATCCCAGGGTCCTGGGATCGAGCACGCATTGGGCTCCCTGCTTGGCAGGAGGTGCTTCTCCCTCTCCCACTCCCCCCTGCTTGTGTTCCTGCTCTCGCTGTCTCTGTCAAATAAATAAATAAAATCTTTTTTAAAAAATGATGTATTCTTGCCAAGTGAAGGCCAAACGATAACTCAGCTCACTGCATGGAAGGTTCATGGCAATTCAAACAGAAAACTAATGATGGAAGAATTGAGTCATAAAGCACCTAGTATTCTGGACACGCTGAACCCAAGAGATCTGTACCTAAGCAGTCAGTACTGTATTCACGGTGTGAGTATCAGCACTGTTACCGTCTGGTAACCACAAGTTTTGTTCTTTAAAAAGGATGCATACTTTCCACAAGATTAAGAAATTCTACAGGAAAGCCAATTTACTAAAGTGGCACAGTCAGCCAGGAGGCAGCATTGAGAGCTCATTTATAACCATGAATTTAATGAGAAACTATTACTCCATGAAAATATTTTCTTCAGCCTGTGTTATACCAAAGCAGTAAAGATTCGTAAGAAAAATAAACAAAGGGATGCCTGGGTGACTCAGTCAGTTAAGCATCTAACTTGATTTCAGCCCAGGTCATGATTTTGGAGTTGAGATCAAGCCCTCCATCAGGTTCAGCCCTGGGCGTGGAGCCTGCTTAGGATTCTCTCTCTCCCTCTCTGCCCGCCCCCTCAAAAAAAAAAAAAGAGAGAGAGAGAAGAAAAGTAAACAATTAGGACTGAGTGCCTATACTTTCATTTCTCAAAACAGAACTAAATTCTGGTTAGTAGTTGATGATCATTATCTAAAGCAATGACATAATGGAATCTATTTCAGCTTCTTTTCAAGTAACAGTGGAAAATTACACTACTTCCATATAATTCCCTCATACAGAAGCCTCTCTCCTCATATGTTTCCTTTTTTTAAAAGATTTTACTTATTTATTTGAGAAAGAGAGATGCATCAGTGGGGGAGAGGAGCAGAGGGAAAGGGAGAAACAGGCTCCCCGCTGAGAGGGAGCCCAATGTGGGGTTCAATCCCGGGACCCCAAGATCATGACCTGAGCCAAAGACAGACACTTAACCAACTGAGCCACATGAATATGTTTTTAAAAAGGCTCTTCATAAATCCACTTGTTCATATATCTTGTTACTTCTGCAACAGAAGCATTTAAAACTGTAGACCTCAAAAACTAAATAAATAAATAAAAACTGTAGACCTTAGATACATATCCATTTCCACTAAACCAGACTGTCAATTTTTCTCTGAACATTTAAAACCAGACACACTCTCCTCCTTGGTGAAAACCACATATTTCAGAATATATTGCAACCCCAAGTATAAGAAAATAATCAGTTAATCTAAATAAAAGGATTCTTATATCACAATATATTTGGGATATAATATTAATGGTGACCTCCAATACTTAGTTGTGTAACTATAAACATGTTTTAATTGCATAAAATACATTAATTTAGCAATACTGCTTTTCCCCCACTATCACATGTTACTGAATCGTTACATTTATAGACATACATGTATACACATAGTACACATACATCTATTTTTTAACTCTACCAACAACAGTTGAGAAGCAAGAACACTCCAGTAACTAAAAGCACTAGATTTTGGTTTCTAAATTCAATGTCCCACTAAAAGGAACCTAGACTCTTGGTTGAGAAATGGCTGATTCCAGGAATGGGACTAGGAACATTTTGTGCCAAAAGGACATACCCAAAGAATGATGGAGATACGTCAAAAGGACACAGGAGTCAGATTGAAGGGGCATGATAGCAACCAATTATAACCCATTGAATAAAATTAAGGACTCAGGCATCTATACTGAAAATCAAACGAGAAGGAAAAGCTCGTACAGTAGTATGTGAACTATATTAGTACGTATATAGAAGGAATAGGTAGGGAGTCAGAAATTTTCCACTTGGCAACCATCATAGTTATAACTCTTTCAAGCAATGGATTCTAAAACTGGAATGCAAAAGTATAATGAGAAACAGGACATTTACAGGGCTTTAAATTCTATTCCCACAAGATACTTTTTTTCCCCTTTGTAATTAATAAGTATCTTCCAAGAGACCTGCCAGATACAACACTGGACAAAGGAGACATTTCAGCCCTCATGGAATCCACATTAATCTGTAAATCATTAGCATCTACATGAACAATAAATCACTATCTGATATAAAATAAGTGCTTGATAAATGTTAGTAGTTAGCTCTTATGAATAAAATACACATGTAAATAAAAGTGTTAGTGAATTCATAATAGCCTTTTATTGTTATACATTTTCCCATTCAATAGACATTGAAAGTCCAGTAACTATCATATGAATATCTGCAAAAAACAAACAAAAACAAAAAAGAAGAGACTCTAATACCTGACTGAAAAGTCTGAGAACAATCAATCTAGTGAAATAACAAAAAAGCATCCTATCCAGATTACATCATTCTGGCATACCAGAACAATCTCTATGTTGTTTAACATTATACTTTTGACTTATTTTTTAAAGATTTATTCATTTGGGAGGGAGATAGGGAGCGCATGCGTGTGCACGTGAATGGGGGGGGGGGGGAAGGAAGTGGGAGAGAGAGAAACTCAAGCAGACTCCCTGCTGAGCGCGGAGCCCCACACAGGGCTCTATCTCACAACCCTGAGATCATGACCTGAGCCAAAATCAAGAGTCAGACACTTAACCAGACATTTAACAAGCCACCCAGGTGCCCCTATACTTTTGACTTTCGTTAAGAGATAATTATGTGTAAATCTTATCATTTGTATAGAACTATCATAAAATATACTGTTCCCTATATCTCTCATATAAAAAAATATGAAAAATCCCTCTCAGCATTTACAATCAGGGAAAAGTTTTTTCTGTGGATGAGTCAGCATCCTAACTTTTATATTGCCATTTATTATATAATGATAAGATGGCAAAAATTTCATCTGTTTCCAATTGCTGCCAGATTGCTTAAGGTTAAGTTTTATGACCAACTGCAGTGTTTTCTAAGTATACTACACAATTATCCCCCTCTCTTTTACAGCTTAACTCTTATTCTTGTTTTAATGATTTTATTATATTTGTGCTTTTTGTTATCTGAAGACCTTAATTCTTTTTGGAAGGAAGCCCTGAGTAAATAATAGACAACCTCAGGGCACCAGGCACCTGACGTAGACTGAAGACAAAGTCAACGGGTAGAAGCAAAAACATTAGAAAGGCAAAGACAAAGGAGTAAACCACAGACTCATTCACGTCACAATTTTTCATAAAGAGAATACAAATGAAAAAGCGATCCCCTCTATGATTTTGCCTTCTAAGATGGGAAGCCACAGAACACACATTCACATTCTTATTATTTCTTTCAAGTTATTTTGGCTTTTATTTTAAAAAATTTTGAAGACAACATAGAGGGGAACAATTACTAGACAGAAATTTGTAGAAAGCAAAACTTAATAATTAGTTAACAGTATCCACTATCTGTAGATATGATGCTAGATATGGGGATACTCTTCCCAGAAAAATATCCTTAAAAAATTTTATTCAGAATTTGAAATTCATCTTAAATGAAAGAAATATAAGGGGGCAGGTTTGCTAGATAAATGCAAACAACTAACATGTGACGAAAAAAACATTAAAGGTTGTGTTACACAGTCAATTCAAGAAGCCATCCATATGCAAAGGCAAGAGAATAACATTCTAAGCAATAGAACTGGTTAGAAAAAAACCCCTATGGACCCTTCCTTTACAACTTACTGAAAGGCATTCCTATGAAGCTAGAAAAAAATAGTCTAAAAATAGTGAAGCTGTGATATTAAAAGAACACTATACTCTATGATGCTATGTAAAACTAACAAAGTAAAATTAATTGCTATAAGCACTGTATCAAAGCTGAATGAAAAAACATTAATATGAAATGCACCAAAAATAAGATGAATTAATTGATGGGTGGAAGGATGGACAGATGCACAGATATGTGCTAAATCAAGTACAAGTTAAATGTTAATAGTAGAATCTAGATGGTAGGTATATGGATGTTCATTATAAAATCTTTCAACTTTGCTTTATGTTTGAAAATTTTCATAATAAAATGTTGGAAAAATAAGTGCAAGAAACTTTTGAAAGAGAAAAATATAATGCAAAAATATTAAAGTTCAGCAATAATGATAATCTGAGTCTATAATATGAGGCTATAGAGGCCCATGTAGAGAAAAAGATGACAGAAGAAATTAAAAGCATCCTCATCTTCTATAGAAGTCAAAATAATTTTTTGTTTTTGGTTTTTAAAAAATGTGTTAAAATTTTATTGATTTTTATTATGCTATGTTAGTCACCATACAGTACTTCATTAGCTTTTGATGTAGTGTTCTATGATTCATTGTTTGGATATAACACCCAGTACTCACTGCAATACGTGCCCTCCTTAATACCCATCACTGGGCTAACCCATCCCCCCACCCCACCCCCTTCTGAAACCCTCAGTTTGTTTCCTGGAGTCCATAGTCTCTCAAAATCATTAAAAATGGTCTTTAATTTTATGGATTTAAATATTTTTGTTTGTTTTTTTAAAGAACATCTCTGGCTCTGGGGAAAATAAAACCAAAAGAAGCATACTCCATGTAGACTAAAGAAACACTAGTGGAGCATAAAACAAGCAAGAGAAATACAAATAAGTTTAGACAATATGTATAAATGATTAAAGTTCACCTGGAAGAGCCAAAAGCCAAAAAAGATAAAAAAAATTTATAAAAGACAAACAAGAGAGTTGACCCAATTATATATTCAACATGTATTATAATCGAGCCCCACATCGGGCTCCCTGCTCAGTGCAGAGTCTGCTTGTTTCTCTCTTCCTCTGCCCCTCCCCCTGCTTGCATGCTCGCTCGCTCTCTCAAATAAATAAAATAAATCTTAAAAAAAGAAAACGAATAGATTAGGTATTGACAGGGAGATAAAAGTGAATAAAACAGGGGCACCTGGGTGGCTCAGTTGTTAAGCATCTGCCTTCAGCTCAGGTCATGATCCCAGCGTCCTGGGATCGAGCCCCACATCGGGCTCCCTGCTCCACGGGAAGCCTGCTTCTCCCTCTCCCACTCCCCCTGCTTGTGTTTCTGCTCTTGCTAACTCTCTGTCAAATAAATAATTTTTTTAAAAAGTGAATAAAACAAAATGTTTAAACAGATTATACACACACACACACACATGGATTTAATTGGTGATGGTGGAATCAAAAAAAGAGAGGAAAAAAAAGGACAACTGTTAACTATTCAGACAAAATAAAGTTGGCCCCTAACCTCATACCATGCACAAAAATATCTAAATAAAGACTTAAAAAAGAAAAAAAAAAAACATTGAAGAACAAAATCAACAGAGTAGAAAGGTATCCTATGGGACAGAAGAAAATATATGCAATTCATATATATGATAAGGGTTAATTTCCAGAATAAAGAATTCCTGCAACTCAACAACAACAACAACCTGATTTAAAAATGAGCATAGGACTTGAATAGACATTTCTCCAAAGAAGATATACAAGTGGCCAAGGAGCACATAAAAAGATAGATGTTCAATATCGCTACTTATTAGGAAAGTGAAAATCAAAACCATGATCAAATCAAAACTTCACACCTATTAGGATGGCTACTATCAAAAAACCAGAAAATAACAAGAGTTGGTGAGGATGTAGAGAAATCAGAACCCTTGTATACTACAGGTAGGAATATAAAATGATACAGCCACTAGGGAAAACAGTATGGTGGTTCTTCAAAAAATTAAAAATAGGACCATCAGATGGCCCAGCAATTCCACTTCTTGGGTATACATCCAAAAGAACTGAAAGCAGGGTCCTGAAGAGATATTTGTACACCCATGTTTACAGAAGCATTACGCACAATAGCCAAGAGGTGAAAACAACCCAAGTGTCCATCAACAGATGAATGGATAAATAAAATGTTACATACATACAATGTAATATTATTTAGCCTTGTATTGAATGGAGCACTGGGTGTTATTCGCAAACAATGAATCATGGAACACTACATCAAAAACTAATAATGTAATGTATGGTGACTAACATAATAAAATAAAATTTAAAAAAATAAAAGGAAATTCCTTTTTTTTTTTTTAAGATTTATTTATTTATTTATTTTAGAGAGAGCATGAGAACGAGTGCAGGGAGGGGCAGAGGGAGAGAGAGAGAGAGAGAAACTCTGGAAGATGCCTCGCTGAGCTCAGAACCAGATCTCAAGACCCTGAGATCAGGACCTGAGCTGAAACCAAGAGTCAGATGCTTAACCAACTGTGCCACCCAGAGGCCCCTAAAAGGACAGAAATTCTGACACATGATACAACATGGATGAACCTTGAGGACATTGTGCTAAGTGAAATAAGCCAGCCAATAAAAGACAAATATTGTATGATTCCACTTATAGGCAGTACCTAGAGTAGTCAAACTCATAGAGTTACAAAGTAGAATTGAGGTTTCCAGGGGCTAGGGAAACAGGAAAATAGCTGTTTAACAGAGTTTCAGTTTTGAAACATGAAAAAGTTCTGGAGATTAGCTGCACAACAATGTAAATATACTCGACACTAGTGAACTATATGCTGAAACGTTAAGATGGTAAATTGTGTTACATGTATTTTATCACAGTTTTAAAAAAAATATATTCAAAGCAAGAAGACTATAAATTAGTGTAAGAAAATATAAATTAAAGCAAGAAGAAAATACAAGTGACTATTAACTGATAAGGACAATAGAGATTTTCTATAACTGAAATCAGCGGATAAATCTCAAAATCAATACATTTGAAAACAAATTTTAAACTGCTAGATATAAAATTATTAAAGCTAACAACCAAACTGGGGGGAAATAACAAACAAAATGACAAGAACTTAATATCCTTAATACATAAAAATCTCATAGTAATTCACTAGCCAAGCACTAAAACCCCATTTTTAAAAATGAATAACACATATAACACACAGTTTATAGAAAACATAAAGTTATCCTCCTATTGGGAATCTACACCCATTAAATCACCTAAATCCCACACAAAGACGCATAAAGAAAAATATTCTTTATAGCAAAAAGAAAAAAGGGAAACAAAAGATGTTATTTGTTGGTAAAGAGTTAAATAAATTATGGTATATGCATCCAAATATACAGCCATGATGATTTTGAAGAATATTAATCAGGGAAAAAATGCACCCACACAATATTATTATTTTTTTTTTTTAAAGATTTTTATTTATTTATTCATGAGAGACAGAGAGAGGAGAGGCAGAGGGAGAAGCAGGCTCCCAAGGAGCAGAGAGCCCGATGCGGGACTCGATCCCAGGACCCTGGGATCATGACCTGAGCCGAAGGCAGAAGCTTAACCATCTGAGCCACCCAGGCGCCCCGCACCCACACAATATTAAATAAAAACAGCAAGATACTAACCTAGATACACAGTACTAGCCCAATCACATTAAAATATATATAAAAATGCAATACATAGGTACACAGAAAAAAGAGGGAAGGAATTATATCAAAATTTAACAACTAGATAATCTTAGATTTTTCCTTCAAATTTCTCTATTTTCAAAATTCTATAATTTGAGTTCTCTATAATTGAAAAAGATGTTAATTCATTTTTAAAAAATCAAGTTTTTAACTATTACCTAACTACTTACCTGTTGTCATGTTTGGGCTGAACAGTCCTAGCACCGACACACTAGAGTAGGAGATCAGGTCTTTATATAATTCCCCACTTAAATATTCTTCTGCTTCTTGGACAGATGTTATGTTCACTGGGCATGAAATCCTGTTGCTGAATGAATATACTATATTCAAAATTAATTTTTAAAGATACTTTTCAGCTTGCAAAAAGATAAAACATACTACTAACATGGGCAAACACTGTATTCCACAGGATAAGTATCTGACAAAATAAAGACAACTAAATACTAGTGTAATAAAAAAAAAATCACCCTCATTAAACACAATTTCTATTTCCCCCAAAGTGAAGGAATAAGCTCTCTTCACCTTATCCTGTTATTTCAATTCATTCCTCCTTAACCTATTCAAAGTGTGTCAACAAAGCATAGGAATTAGAAGGTTTACAGACCCCAAAATTTAAGTCTTAGGGAGAAGCTGAATACTTACAGCTGGATAAATTTTAGGAGATCTTCAGTTCCTAACATTCCAGGGTAAGACACCGGGCTCTTGCCTTCCTTATACATCTTTACAACAGGAAATTCAGTAACATTTTGCTTAGTACATAAATCAGGCCAATCTGCACAGTTCACTCTAGTAAGCAGCATACTGGATGTGCCTAAACAACAGGAAACGCACACTTTATAAATATTAATGTAGAAAACTCAGTTGTGTAGACTTGACAATATTTTTATAGCCCATTCTTATTTTAACCTCTCATGAGCATGAACTGCTTCCACTGGACACTCTTCCCCTGATTTTTGCAACCCCTTCCCCAATTGGCTTATTTCCCCACCTCCCTTGCTGCTCAATTTGTGGGTCCCTTTTGCATGCTGGTCTGCCAGTAGAGTCTAAGTTGCCTGCAGTATTACATCCCCTATATTTTATCAATGCAGGAATTTCCCATGGTGTTCCTAATTTAAAGATTAAAAAAAAAAAAATTCTCTTAGCTACAGCTAACTAGGTACTAGGTAGGTATAAAAACTTGGTATTTGCTGCCATCTTGTGACTGAGTATAAAATATTCTTCATCATCTTAGATGAACAGTGGCTTTTTTCCATAAAGTCAATGTGAAAGGTTATAGGACTAAATGCCCGAAGCATTGCAGTATTCTCCCAATTTACAAAGTTATAGTATGGGCTTCAATGTAGACATAAAATAGTTACCTATACTATGCATTTCTACATTAAGCCCCCTGAACTTCTGAAACAGTCCCTTTATCTGATTATCTAATTACTAAAAGGATTGTTACTCATAAAGAACATCCTAAATGAAAAAGGAAATCAAGTCTTGGCTTGGTTATCTGCTTTTTTTATCCTACAAACATATACAACTCAGAGTCCTTGCATTGAGGGGCCAGGGAGCCTTTTTTCAATCATTAATAGAGAAGAATATAAGGGAATCTGTTTCCATTTTCATTTGGTATTGACAAATGGGATGGGTGGGGGGATAATTCTATTATTCAGGGACATTATCCAATTATTCCTTCATTGTGGTTTATATTTCCCCCCTTCCTTTTTCTTTCTTCTAATTTTTTGCCAATGAGGCTGGGGAACCTAAAAGAAGAAACTTAAATCTTTCCGTAGATTGCAACTACAAAGGAGAACCTGAAAGAGAGTAAGAGGATTTGATTTTTTTTTTTTTTTTTAAATATTAGGTGGGGCGCCTGGGTGGCTCAGTCATTGGGTGTCTGCCTTCGGCTCAGGTCGTGATCCCAGGGTCCCAGGATCGGGCCCCGCAGGGAGCCTACTTCTCTCTCCCCCTGCTTGTGTTCCCTCTCTCACTGTGTCTCTCTCAAATAAATAAATAAAAATCTTTAAATATATATATATATTAGGTAATCACATTATCTGTAGACTTAATCACCTCTTCATTCAGGTAATGAAGTAATCAAAAGTTGGATCAAATGTGGTTGAGAAATGAACTGAGGAAAAAAGTTTTAAAATCTCTGATGTTTTTATTACCATAGAACATGTTATATTTAGGATTGACTTTCCAGAATTAATTTAAGTTCACAAAAGTCCCTAATATATAAGCAAGTTGTACACTAGTAGACATTTTCCACTAAACTCCACCTTATTAGCTTATTCATTTATTCAACAATTTATTAAATACCAAATATTCTACGATGTAAGGCAATATGCCAAGTCCAGTGAACTGAGTATAAGATATACTACCTACCCATAAAGAACTTACTAAAAATTTAAAGAACCTAAAAAACTAAATGGTGGATACATTCCTAAAGTAGCTAAAAGAATAAGCCTATTTAACTGGAATAGCTAAGAAAAAAACAAGAAAAACAGTAGAAGAAAATCGTATTACAGATATGAAGCATGATACATTCTGTCTTATTCAAATGATTATAAAACATTATCCTAATCCATCATTATCTCTCTCTTATTAACATGCCTCCCTACCTCTCCCTACGTCTTTGCTAGAATGATGGCATAGATATTTTGAGTTCAAGTCTATTCCTTGGATTAGTTACCTACCCCTAGATGAGGTTTTCATAGAACAGTTAAAAGATCTTGGCTATTAAGAAATATCCCAGTCCAGGGTGCCTGGGTGGCTCAGTTGGTTAAGTGACTGCCTTCGGCTCAGGTCATGATCCTAGAGTCCCGGGATCGAGTCCCGCATCGGGCTCCCTGCTCGGCGGGGAGTCTGCTTCTCCCTCTGACCCTCCTCCCTCTCATGCTCTCTGTCTCTCATTCTCTCTGTCTCAAATAAATAAATAAAAAATCTTTAAGAAATATCCCAGTCCATAAGGAGTTAACTGAATAGCTTTAAGAACACTGAGATCTTAGATCTTTGGTTAGACTGTGAGATTGGGTCTTATCTGTCACATTTTTGTTTAAGTGCATTTAGTATTTATTTAATAATATTTAATAGTAACTAAGAGTAGGCACTCAATAAATGTTTGCTGAATGAATTCAGCCAAAAAGATTACTGGATTAACTGTCTGGCCACAAGTACTTTATACATAGGCTCTCTACTTTCTACTGAAGACAGTTCCATGAAAAGAACCAAGATGAATGCTTCTGAGCATTTCTGAAACTCATGGTTCATTAACATAAAGTTGGGAGACACAAATATAATAACAAATATAATTCATCTTTAGCATGATACAGCTTTACAAATAGCTATAGCTTAGAATCAAGAAAATAAGCATGCATACCATATTACATACCTTTCAATTTAATTGCCAAATCTATATAGGATTGCAGAAATGCCATGGATACTGCTTGCCCTACATTAAAATAAAAAATTCAACAGATATTGCAATATGCATATCTCCAAAGCATCCATACCTATACATTAACAAACATATAGATTTATAGGGTTTCCCAAAATTGTTATTCCTTCATAAGAAATATTTTAATATACAGTACTCAATATTGTGCAAACATTCAAGAGGATTCTAAATGCAACTAATTTTCTGCACTCAGACTGCAAAGGATATAGTTGAAGGGCTATTATTTGAAGGTAAAAGCAATATATGTCCTATAGATTCATAAGAACTGTTAATATATTTTTTAAAAAGAACTGTTAATATATTAAAAACATTAGCTTGAATTAACAATTTTTCTAAATTAGTAAATTAGTAAATCTTTCGATATGTGCAGTCTACTTGGGACAGTGCGAAAGCTATGTCATTCTACCACATGCAATATACAGAATGCAAAAATAAAATCCACCAACTTTAAATCCTCTAATACATAACAGTCCCTCCTCTAAAGGCTCATACTCACAACCAGCATAGAAAAGCACTATGCTATCAGAAGCCACCACTGTTGCATTAAACGTCTCTTCTGTTAGTTCTACCGTGAGTTCCAAAGGTAACCGTCTCTTCCTATCTCTGTAAACAGTTTCTGCCACTTCATCATCTTGAATATCTAAAATGTTCAAAAATACATTAATGTGTATATAAATACATAACTTATATAGATACAAATTCCACTGTATGACAACCACTGCGATGGACACTAGTCCCTGACCACATGGAGCTCCTGTTTACAGAAAAGTCAGACAATAAACTCATCACTGAATAAACACATAGTTATAAATTATGTCAGTTTAAGGAAAGAAAATGGTACATGATAAATTGTAATAGGGAGATTTAGGTTGGGGGAGCCAAAGCCTTCCAGCTAGAGAACCCAAAATTAAAAAAAAAAAAAAAGTCTTAGGCAAAAAGAAAAACCTATATGAAGGCTCTAAGACATAAAAGAGATTAGCATGTACTACGTACTGAAGGAAGGCAAATTTAGCTAAAACAAGATGGGATGAAGGAGTAAATGGCATGACAAAACTCTAGACTAGGCAATAGCTAGATCATAAAGAGCCATATGAGCCAAGAATTTTAGATTTTATTCTAAGTGCATCAAGTTATGTGGATTCTGAATATGTAAAAACCTATCGTTAACTTAGACCAACTAACCAACCAGTGGACCAATCCATTTATCCATCCATCCATCCATCCATGTATGGGGTTAAAAAAAAATTTTTGCACTTGTAAATATTCTGTTGGAAGTTTGTACAGATTATATGGTAACACTGAAGGGACATCTGACTTGATTAGAGAGACAAAGTTTCCTAGAAGAGTTCACACTAGCTGAATATTAAAAGAAAATGAAACTTAGGTAGGCAGTGAAGGAAGGCAGTGGAGGCATACAGAGCAAAGGGAATAGCATGTGCAAAGGCACAGTGGCATGAAGGAGCATGCAAATGGAAATGCAAACACTGATAATATTTAAGAGTACTGTTAGTTTTTGAGATGTAATAATAGCAATAATTATGGGGGTTTGGGGAAGTTTTTTTGGTTTTGCTTTTTTGGTTTTTTTTGGGGGGGGGTTGTTTTGTTTTTTAGAGAGAAAGAGCGAGCGAGCAAGCAAGCACAAGCCTCGGTCCGGGGGGAGGAGAGAGAATCCCAAACAGGTTTCATGCTCAGCACGGAGCCCGACATAGGGCTTGATCTCATGACCCTGAGATCATGACCTGAGCCAAAATCAAGAATTGGACACTTAACGGACTAAGTCACCCAACTAACTGCCCCAGTTATGCTCATTTTATTTTTTATTTTTATTTTTTAAATTTTTTATTAAATTCAATTTAATTATCATATATTCTATTATTAGTTTCAGAGGTAGAATTCAGTGATTCACCAGTTGCATAAAACACCCAGAGCTCATTATGTTCATTTTAAAAGGAGAATCCTTATATTTCTGAAAAACACAGGGAAATCTTTTTGGATGGAACTACATATTTGGGATCTGCAACAAAATAGTAAGGGGTGGGCAGTGACTAGAACAGGATAGCCATGGGTTGATGGTAGCTGGGTGGGGCCAGGTAATGGGATACCAGGAGATTTGTTCTATTATCCTGTCTACTTTATGCTAAGTTCATAATTCTTTATAATAACACATTACAAAGAAAGGAACGGAGGAAGACAATTTAAAAATGAAAGTATTGTTTTTATATGATTTCTAATATATAAAATAAAATACCAGATCTGAATTACAGTGCATTTCCACAGGTTTCAGCTGTGTGACTCCAGTGGGTCACATAACTCTATGGGCCTCAGTGTTCAAATCTGAAACCTAAGAGTTGCACTATACTAACTTAAAGGAACTTTAAAACACCACATTCTATGATACTAACAAGTTACAACTCCAATACCAAAATTAATAAAGGCCTATTTTCCTATTTACTGTATTTTTTCCTTCTTATTCACATATTTTCATTTTCCTTCCAATCCTTTATTTCCCAATCCATTCTTGTCCTCTTCTTCCAACACTTCCTTTCCCTCTTTCCTATTCTCTCTCTCTCAATAAGCTACCCTCACTTCTAAATTGATCCACTCTTTAGCTCTATCTTTCACCTATTCATCAATATATACACACGTTCTTTTAAGCCATACATGTGTAATATTTTTTCCATATCGTCCTTTTGTAGAATTCAATCCATTTTACTCTGATTCATTCTGTGCCCATTTCCTTTGAAGGACATTTTTCTTTGTGTTGTGCTCTCACATGGTAACAAACTCTTTCCTATACGTGTATTTTTCCTATACAAATGGGAACAAAACAAGGTGGGGGGATTATGTATATGGACATGACTACATACACTATTATGGGCCAATATGGATTACAGATGTAGAAAGTTAAGACAGAAAAAAAAAAACCCACAACAAAACAAACAAAAGGGAAAGCTGTAAAAGAAATCCTAGAACTAGGCTGGGGAGAGAAGACAGGCAGAGAAGAAAGAGAAGGCCACATCACAGGGCAAATTAAGGGGTGTGGCAAGGAAATCTTGAAACAAACAACTCCCACTGAGAACAGGAATCTCACTAAGCTGACACAGGGGCGATTCCCTTGACTGGAAGGGGGAATCTATGAACCATGATAGAAAACAGAGCCAGGAGAAAGAGACCAGAACACAGGTCTATGTAATGACAATGCTATAGAGAACTCTGGCTTAAACCATGAGCAGTTCCAACCTCTGCATATTAGAAAAGAGCTAGAACATAACTCAAACCAAAAAACTGGTCACTGGTAACCATTAAATCTCAGAGCCCTTATTAAATTTATAATATAGATTCTGATCAAAATAATGAATGGACCTCACAAAAAGAATACATAAATTACTCCCTTCTTGACACTCATAATAGTACTAGGTAAAACATTCAAGTATATACTAAATGCAATACAAAAATGAACAAGACATAATCCCTGCTTTAGAGATATTATAGACTAGTGGAGAAGAGAGAAAAGCAAGTGAGCAGTTACAGGATAGGATTAATGTTATGAAGGAGTGTCAGTAACAATAATGATAATGCATAAGATTTCAAGTCAGAATGCTTAAGTTCTAGTCCAGGCTCTACCACATGCCATTTGTTTGACTTTGGGTAGATCACTTAATCCTGCTAAAACACAGATTCTTGATCTACAAAGTGAAGGTGACATCAGCTAACTCAACCAAAGTAAATAATGTGTAGGAGAATAGCCTTGAAACTATAGAATACTTCAAAAACATACGCAATAAGTACAATAAAAAGAAATATAACATGTTAAAAAGAGGTTTTAAATGTTATTGAAATTTACTCCCAGACTGTCATCAGATTTATTTACAACTACAAATCCAACAATATTTATTAGAATTTCATTTCCTAATAGGAAAAATAAAAATAAAATACCCTGTTGTGGCTCCTGGGTCATTTTTAAACATGGAGTAGACCAGGAGGGCTGAAAGAACTGATTTAGAAGATAAAGGCACAGATGTGGAAAGCTACATCCTGGCATGTAACAATGAAAGGTATCACATTCAACAAAATACAGCATCCTTACCTTTTCCACCAAATCAACTTGATAAAATGTCATTCAAAATAGGTTTCTCCAGGTATTTTCATAGTCTTGAATGTCAAAACATTCTATGAGAAAGTTAATTCATTGAAATTTCACTGACCTCATGGGTGCCGAGGAGGAATGGAGGGTGGAGGGGAAAGGAGCATCACAAAACATATTACCCATATCTGGACTTCCCATGTCCTCATCTCCGTCTTCTTGTATTTCTTCAATGTGCATATTACTTTCCACACGGGATATTATTAAATCAATATCATGTAAGACCAAAAATTCCACTGGCACTCCCTAGAAATACATTCATTTTTAAAATCATGACTAAAAATATACCAAAGCATTTTAATAAAAATGTTTTACTTGTTTGATATTAAAATGAAACTAAATCTTTGAACTTCAGTTTTAAAATTAAACAAAAAAAGGAAATTCCATAATCATTATGAAAAGTACCCAAAGCATACTTTATATAAAATAGTGTGTACTAATGAAAAAAAAAGGCAAAAAAGAACTGAAAGTCTCACTTGCTTGACATAATGGTATTATACTGACGTCTGCAACATTTCACACATAACTGCATGTCCCACTTCAATATAAAACTTAATTGCAGGGCGCCTGGGTGGCTCAGTTGGTTAAGCGACTGCCTTCGGTTCAGGTCATGATCCTGGAGTCCTGGGATCGAGTCCCGCATCAGGCTCCCTGCTCGGCGGGGAGTCTGCTTCTCCCTCTGACCCTCCTCCCTCTCATGCTCTCTGTCTCTCACTCTCTCTCTCGCAAATAAATAAATAAAATCTTAAAAAAAAAAAAAACTTAATTGCAAATAGGGCCATCAAAATTATTTTGATATTCCACAGAAATATTCAAAATAATATCTCATCCTACAATAATTCCACTAAAATAAAACTACAATCTGCCCCCAGGTATTTTAAGAATACCAAATCTAGCCCACGGAGATTATTCCATTATAATTTCTTTTACTAATACCCAACTATCACATCTTAAAAACATGAAATTTTAGGCCACTAGATTATTTCAGTAAATCATTCCTGACTGTAACTATACATGAGAATAAAGCTATAAAATAACTGTGTGTTTGTTCTTTGATATCACATATTTATCTTTTTAATATTACATTCAAAGTGAGCAACTTTTTACTTCTGTGGAAATAATAACGGAGTTAAAAGGTAGAGTGATTAAAGTCAAACCAAATTTGTTTGAAGTATACATAGATATTGTGGTAGTAAACTTTTTTATTCAAATACAACATCCACACAGGAAAGAACACAAATTGTAAGTGTATAGTTTGATGAATTTTTACAGAGCTGATACACTTATATAACCACCACACAGGTTAAGATACAGAACATTACCAGCACACCGAGAGGCCATCTTCTTGCCGCTTCCTGTCATTACCCTCCCCCAAAGGTAATCACTATTCTGACTTTCATCACCATCTATAAATTTTGCCAGTTTTTGAATTTATATAATACAACTATATACGCCCTGTACTCTTTTTGTGACCACTTCTTTTGATCAACACTATTTGTGAGGTTTATCCATGTTACATTTAAAAGCAGTTTATCCTTTTTCAAAGATGAATGTACTAGTATGTACCATATATATGTACGTATGTGTTTATCCGTTCTATTGCTCATGGACATGTGTTATTTCCAGCTTCAGACCATTATAAAAGTATACTAACTGCTATGAACATTACTACAGCTGTCTTTTAGTGCACGTGTATACACATTTCTGTTGGGCAGTGCTTAGGAATGAAATTGCTGGTTCACATGATATATATATAGCCTCAGCTTCAGGAAGCACTGCCAAATATTTTTCCAGTTTTCATTGTACTAATTTTCACTCCTACCAAAAGTTCTTGTAACTCTACCTTCTTAAAAACACTTGGAATTGTTACTTCTTAAATTTTTAGCCATTCGGGGGGTGAGTACTGGTATGTCTTGTGGTTTTATTTGCATTTCCACCTACAGTTTATCTGCTAATTGGATAAGGGAAATGTATCTTATGATGGAGAGAATTAACTGTCTCCACATTAATTCAGTAATCAAATGTGGCATCATTAAGTGAGAAAACCAGACATCATCCACATTAGAATAAGATAAAATACCAGTAAGCCAGCACTGTGAAGTATTCTTACCCAAAACATTTAATGGAGCTAGGCAATCTAACTTCCAGTTTTTAGAAAACATAAGGGAACAGAGGAGCAAGGCAGACAAAAGCAAAAGGAAACAGACAAATCCAGAATATGGAAAACCTGGCCCATTTATCTAAAAGGCACCATCATGGGGGAGAAGAAGAGGGAGTGTTAAGACATTGAGACATTTAAGAAACACACCAAATGCAATTCGTAATCCTTAACTAAATTTTGGTTCACAAAAAACACCTATAGAAAATACTTTTAGATGAAAAAATTTGAATATGAACTGGCTATGAGATTAGGCTATGATAAAACAAATTCCTGTTAATTTTGTTAAGTGTGATAATAAAATTGTGATTGTATAAAGAAGAACAGTAATTTTTAAAGATTCATGTTGGATATTTATGAATCTGTAAATGCCATGATATCTAACATTCTTTGGAATGTTTTAGAAAAAAATTATAGGTGAAGCAAATATGATAAAATATTAATTGTTGAATCTAGGTAGTAAGTATATAGTTGTTCATTCTATTTTTCTACTTTTCAGTTTGTTTGATTTCATACAAAAAAAAAAAAAAACTCTGAAGAAAGGAATTAAAAAGGGCTTTTAAAAACTTAGATACTGGGGCACCTGGGTGGCTCAGTCATTAAGCGTCTGCCTTTGGCTCAGGTCATGATCCCAGGGTCCTGGGATTGAGCCCCACATCGGGCTCCCTGCTCAGCGGGAAGCCTGCTTCCCCCTCTCCCATTCCCCCTGCTTGTGTTCCCTCTCTCGCTGTGTCTCTCTCTGTCAAATAAATTAAAAAATCTTTAAAAAAAAAAAAAAACTTAGATACTAAGAAAGATCCTAAGCATTAATACTATTCCTCATACTACTATGCTAAAACACAAACAATTCTTCCCCTCAGGGCTTCTGCATGTGCATCCTCTCACACTCATCACTCTTTCCCCACATATCCACAGGCATATTCCTTTACTTTATTGTTACTAATCAGTGAGATCTTCCGAAACTACTCTCTCACCTTACCCTGTTTTTTTTTCCACTGTCCTTAACACCATCTGACATTCTAGCTATACTGGTTTTGTATTTGTCTCCTGCCACTAGTATATTAGCTCCATGAGGGCAAAAACTTGCTTTTGTTCACTGCCATATCCTCAGAGCCTAGGACTGTGCCTGAAACAAAGCAGGTACACAATAAATACTTATGGAAAGGATGAATGGATGAGTATAGTATTTATTGAGCACTTATGAATGTATTTGACCCTGTGCTAATTTAGCACTTTACATTATTTCTTTTAATATACTGACCCAACAACTCTTTAAAGTAGATATTATTATTAACCCTCCTTTACAATGAAAAAAAAAAAAAAGAGAGAGAGACATATAGAAGTAATTTGCCCAGAGTTACAAAGTTGGATTTGAACTAGGCAGTAAGATTCTATAGCATAAACTCTTAATACTATATTGCTAATTACTGCCGTAGGAAAAAAAATTCTGAAGAACTAATGCAATACCAAAAGATATGTTTTATAACTTACTATACAAGGCTTGTAATATAGTAATATGAGCATACAATACTATCTAAGCAGTTCTATACTTTAAGGACCCTCAAACCCTTTGCCTGGAAAGGGAGAGAGAAAGAATGATTATACAAACCCAGGATGAACATTATTGCCCTGATGAGAAGGTAAAAAAAAAAAGATTTACACTGAATTCAATACAGAGACTCATAGAAAAGACTCTTCTATCCTTTACAGAAAATTTCTTTGCAGAGATAGCTATCTTATAACCTCTCTTACCTCATGCTATACAAAATTGTTACATTTTAACAATTTAAGACATCAAAACTCAAAAACCATCATGAACTTTAATTTTTCCATAAAACCTATTTCCCAATAATAAATATTATAATTTCTTATTTAGGGATCTTGATCTACCAGCAAAAAGAAGAGCTTCAGAAAGTACTCCTTCCATGACCTAGCCAAAAAGCAGAGCATACTCGCCCCATACTATAGTATACACATTTGAACAATACTACAGTTTTCAAAGTATTTTCCTATTTTGTCTTATAAATTTCTTGTAAGTTAGAAGGGAAGGTTTTATGAATAGTTCACAAATGAGAAAACTGAGCTTGGAGAAGCTAATTCATTAATCTGGTTCCAGAACGAGAAGAAACAGAATCCAAGTCTTCTGACCTTTGACCCAGTGTTCATGCCATAGTCCTAGGCAAGAGAATTTAAGTTTAAATTGTCTGGCAGTTCAGGGGCCCCTGGCTGGCTCAGTCAGTAGAGCACCCAATTCTTGATCTCAGGATCATGAGTTTGAGCCCCATGTTGGGTGCAGAGATCACTTAGGTAAATTTAAAAAAATGTTTTTAAAAACTGGCAGTTCAAACCATGAGAGACTATGGACTCCAAGAAACAAACTGAGGGGAGGCGAGTGGGGGAATGGGTTAGCCCAGTGATGGGTATTAAAGAGGGCACGTACTGAATGGAGCACTGGGTGTTATATGCAAACAATGAATCATGGAACACTACACCAAAAACTAATGATGTAATGTATGGTGATTAACATAATAAAAAAAACTGGCAGTTCAAAAACATCAATCAATTGTTTAGCATATTTATATAATATTTTGAAATGTGCAGAATTAATGAGTTCTCAATAATTAAGAAAAATTTTAAGAAAAATATAAGAAAAAAAGAACATTAACAGAAATTTACAAAGGCAAATAAATGGGAAATAAGCCTTTAAAAAATGTTCAACCTCACCAGTAATCAAAAATATGCAAATTAAAACAGGAACTTTGTCGATAAAGAAGTTTTTTTTTTTTAAGATGGTGATGCTCAGTAGTGGCAAGATGTATGAGCAACAAGGAATTCCAAACCTTGCTGGTTTCTGGAGGGCAATTTGACAATATATTCTAACAGCCTTAAAAACCCCCATTTCCTTTGACAAACTTCACGTCCAGAAGTTTAGCCAAAGGAAAGAACCAGTGATATTCAAAACAGTGTACAAAGGCAGGCATCATATAGCACAATAGCAAGTAATTAAATATAATTTTACATGAAAAGTAGGCTATATAGCATGACCCTAATTTTCTTTAAAATATATATATATGAACATGAGAAAAGAGACAAACTAACAAATGGGGAAAAAAAAAAAAAAAGAACACCAAAATATTAAAAGCAATAATCTCTGACTAGTGGCAATTTACAGAATTTCTTTTCTGTAATAAGCATATATTATTTTATGACCACACATATTAACTTTCTTTAAATAAGCAGACATTGTAGAGCAATACATAAAATGACTAACCTCTTCTGCTCTTCTGAAGACCACGTTAGCATGCAGAGGAATGTCCACTTCCAATGAGTCCCTTTTTCAAAATGGAAATAAATGTTTTATATGGTTAATCTGAAGAACAGTCATCCAGGATGTCAACATAAAAGCGAACTTTAAGTTCTTACACTAAAAACTATAAGTTCTTACATAAAAACAATTTATGAAAAAAGATTACAATTTAGTAAGTCTGAGAAATTTTAGACATAAATACAGACTAGATGTTCCAGTCTCCATCTTCATTTTGCAAAGTTTAAAGGTCTAAATTTTAATCAAGTTATTAATGTACAGACTTTAGCTTAGCAACTGGTTCTATTAGAATTTACCAGAGTAAATTTATTAGAATTTACTAATACTAGAATTTACTAGAGATCTAAGTTTATTTACAAGTGAATATATTACCATATTTTAAAAAGAGAAAAACTCTAGTGTTTTGCTAAATACAGTGAATATTTAATGTTTAAGATACCTTAACAAGAGTAGAACTCCTGCTTTCCCCAGAAGACACCAAGCGACCCATTCTGCAGTCCTTCTATCAGCTTCATACGTCGCTTGCTGACTAACAATAAAAACCAGTGGTAATCCTAGTTGGAGATGAACAGTTGAAACCTGTTGAGGGTCTTCAGCAACTTCAGTCTTCATTTTAAAAAAAGAACAAAAGGTCTTCACTGTGTGAGAATAGGGTTCCAACATTTGGATTTAAACTCTAATTCTTATTAATAAAGTCATGAGTTAAAAAAAAATACAAGTCTGTTGAAATAAATCCAATATTAACAGAAATGACCTCATTATTTCCTAAGGTTAATCCTCCCAATGTACCTATATAGTTTAAGCATTATAAAACTAACACATTTACAAGGAGTTAAACATGAAATTACAACCACAAGGAATAAGCATATTATAAAGAAATTTTAAAAAAACAATTAATAAAACAGTGTGGTACTGATAAAGAGATATTTCAAATGAAATAGAATAACAAGAATAAATTCTTTTGTATAAGAATTTAACGACACATTACAAAACAATGAGGAACATCTGAGTTAGGACAGCAGTTTGAATATATACATCTAATTTTATTCCCTCCAGAAATCCCAGGAAAACTATAGCAGGAAGATTTTTTTTAAGGAGATAAACATACATATGTGAAGAAAGGAAAAGAGAAAAGGCAAACATTTTTTTGGAAGCTGAAGAACAGAATAATAACTGACTTAGGAGAATCTAACAAAGCAAAACCATAAGCCATGAGAGAGAAAGCTAAGAAACAATCAATTTTAACTGCAGCATCCCTAAAATTGCTCAGGACCTGTCCGTGCCTGGTATCTCTGGAACCAGGAGAGAAACGCTGGAGGGCAGCGGCAGGAAGGCTCTGAAATAAGGAGGAATAGGTAAAAGCTTTGGAGGAGTTAGATCCTGAGATTCTCCTCCCGACTCCATGAGTTTAGGCAACTGTTCCTCCCTCACACCAGAAGAAATCTGGGGGGACTTCAGAAAAATCTCAGAGTGTGAATACCATGCCAAAAGTGGGGGGATTAAGTAACCAAATGCTAAGACACCCCCAACTCCCTACCCACTCAGTTCCCAGAATAAAAGCAGCCAGACTTCTGTCCTCTGGGCAGAAGAAGGGAAGATCCTTTTCTGAGAACCGTAAGCCCAAGAAAAAGCCTGAGGATACTGACATTAGGGTTCACCAAAAAGCAGCCCAGGTCCAATCCCCTATAGAGCTCAGAATTAACAAGTCTCATCTACAGTCCCAGAATTTCCAATCAGCTTTTTAGGTTCATATTCTAAATCACAAACAGATATCCAAGGAGTAACATGGATCTGAGGGAAGCCTCTAACATAAAAGATAGAGACCAGAAAAAACAGAAAAACAGATAACATGGAGAAAACAAAGACTATTCAGGAAGCAGATTCAGAAAATCACCACCGGTAAGCTCCAGGTGATGGGAAGATACTGCATCCATAAAGAAATAAAAATTAAAATTGAACACATCTGCCAGAAAGTACATACAGCAAAAGATAGAAAATAGGAGAAAATGTAATAAAGGTGAAGGACAGGTTCAAGAGGTCCAATGTCCAACTAGGAGTCCCAGAAAGAGAGAAGGGAGAAAATAGAAGGAAGAATCATCACTGAAATAAACACAGAAGTTTCTCATGACTGAAGGAACATGAATTGCCAGACTGAAAGAGCCACTGAGTAACCAAATAGTGGATAAAAGTAGATATACAGGAAGATGCTTTCTTGCAAGCTTTGCAATTATTGAGAATTTTTGTTAATCCTCAAAGCTTCTAGAGAAAAATTGATATTTACCCATGGTAGACCGAATTCCAAAATGGTCCCCAAGATTTCTGGTGCACAAATTTTGTATAATACCAATCCCTAGGAGAGCCATTCCCTTGATTAGGTTACGTTATAGAAGGCTGTCAGCACAACGCAGTGAGATTGTCCTGCTGGCTCTGAAGGAGGAAGCTGCAATTTTTGGAGAAGGCCGTATGGCTAGGACCTGAGAATAGCCTGTACGAGCTAAGAGCAACACCAGCCAATGAGCAGCAAGAAAATGGAGACCTCAGTCCTACAACCACATCAAACTGAATTATACCAAAGCTTGAATGGGTAGAACAGCCTGAAGAAACAGAAAGACCTGGTTCCTTCTTTGTGTATTGGGAGAACAATCAGTAATTCAGCATTAAAAAGTGAAAACGAGGAATAAGCAATAAGGATGGAGATCTGGCAAGGAACCAAATCATTAAAAACTTTTATTTCTCCTAAGAAAGTGGGGCTTTCTTCTGTAAATGAATTGAAACCATTTAGAAATTGTAAGAAATATTATAACATGTGTGTTTAAAAATATTATTCTGCCAGCAATGGCAAGTATGAATTTCAAGGGAGTGAAAAAAAGGGGGGGGGGGGATAGAGACCAGATCAGTTACTATTACTAAAATAGAACATGAAAGATGGTGAAAACCTCGATTAAGGCATCGGCTGTTAGAACGAAGAATTCAAAAGATATTTAAGATGTAAAATTAGATGCGGGGAGATGCAGGAATTGAGAATGATTTCCCAGGTTTCTGCTATGAATGACTGGATAGTAAATTAACCAAGATAATGGAGAAAGAACAGATGGTGGAGAAGGACAACACACTGATGTTGGACATATTGAGCTTAAGGAGAGATACACCTAATTAGTAGTTAGAGATACAAGAAATACATCTAATTAGTAGTTAGATATATGGGTTAGGAAGTCCAAAGAAAAATTTGACCTGAAAGTTCAGATCTGAGAATCAGTGTAGTTAATGCCATAGAAACAGATGAGACCACTTGAAGGGTGTTTTCTAAGCATTATCATTGTGTGTGTAGCAAAGTACTCCAAAACCTGATGGCTTAAAATAACAAGAATCACTCATTTTGTTTGTATATCTGCAAGTTCATCTCTGATCCACATAGCATTAGGAGGGCCTCTGGACAGGAGGCAGAAGCTCTGCTTTAAAGATGGCTCATTCGGGACGCCTGGGTGGCTCAGTTGGTTAGGCATCTGCCTTCGGCTCAGGTCATGATCCCAGGGTCCTGGGATCAAGTCCTGCATCAGGCTCCTTGCTCCACAGGGAGCATGCTTCTCCCTCTGCCTGTCGCTCCCCCTGCTTCTGTGCTCGCGCACTCTCTCTGACAAATAAATAAAATCTTTAAAAAAATAAAATAAAATAAAGATGGCTCATTCACTGGCTTGTAAGCTGATGCTGACTATATGAGCTCAGCCAGGGCTGTGGGCTAGGGGCCTCAATTCTTCACCAAGCTTCTCCTCAGATTTAGTCTGACACCAAGGTACCCAAGTTTCAAGAATGAGCAACGAAAAAGAACAAAGGAGAAGTGCAAGGCATCTTGTGACAGACCTCAAAAGTCACACATCATCACTTCAGCCCTATTCTACTGGTCAAAGGCAGTCACAGAGGCCCAATCAGCTTTAGGGAGAGGGGACATAGACTCCACTGGATAGGCACAAAAATAAAATTAAATTAAATTTAAAAAAATACTTTTATATATTTTATGTAAAATATAGATTATATATATAAACTGATAGAATATACAAAAGTGACAAAAACACTCTTGCATTGCGGGGGATTACCAATATTTTTATTTTTATTTTTTAAGATCTTATTTATTTATTTGAGAGAGAGAGAGCAGGGGGAGGTACAGAGGAGAGACAAGCAGACTCCAAGCTGAGTGCAGAGCCCAACGTGGGGCTCAATCTCATGACCCTGAGATCATGACCTGAACCAAAATCAAGAGTCAGATGCCCAACCAGCTGAGCCACCCAGGTGCCCCACCAATATTTTTCTAAAATTCACAAATTATTATTAACTTAGAAATTAATTTTCAAAAAAGGATATCAAGGAAAAAAGAATTATAACAGACTGCTATTAACCATTGTACACTTATAAATTAGATAAACTAGAAGACAGGATAAATTCCCAGACACATACAACCTCCCAAGATTGAATCATGTAGAAATAGAAAATGTAAATAGATATATAATAAGGAGATTGAATCAGTAATCAAAAACCTCCCAACAAAGAAAAACCCAGGCCCACATAGCATCACTGGAGAATTCTATCAAACATTTAAAAAAGAATTGATGCTAATCCTTCTCAAACTGTTCCCAAAAAATGATGAGTAGGGAACACTCCCAAACTCATTGTATGAAGCCAACATTACTCTGATACCAAAGCCAGACAAAGATATTACAAAAAACTACAGACCAATATCCCTGATGAATATTGATGCAAATATCCTCAACAAAGTACTTTTAAACTGAATTCAGCAGGACATTAGAAAAAATTAAACCCATGACCAAGTATAATTTATCCCTAGGATGCAAGGATGGTTCAAAATCAGTCAATATAGAGGACAAAAATCACATCATCCTCTCAACTGATGAAGAAAAAGTATTTGACAAAATTCAATACACTTTCACAATAAAAACATTCAACAGACTAAGAATAGGATAAAAGTTACCTCAACATAATAAATGTCATACATGAAAAGGCCACAACTAACATCATACTCAATAGTGAAAAATTGAAAGCTTTTCCTCTAAGATCAGGAACAAAGCAAGGATGCCCACTATTGCCACTTCTATTCAACATAGTACTGGAAGCTGTAGCCAGAGCAACTAAGCAAAAAATAAACAAATAAAAAGCATACAAATTGGAAAAGAAAAAGCCAAAATTATCTCTGTTCACAGATGACATGATCTTGTATGTAGAAAACCCTAAAGATTCCACAAAAAATAGTCGGAATAATGAATGAATTCAACAACGTTGCAGGATATAAAATCAACACTGAAAAGTCAGTTGTGTTTTTATGCACTAACAAGGAACTCTCCTAAAAGGAAACTAAGAAAATAATCCCATTTATAATAGCATCAAAAAGAATAAAATATTTAGGAATAAGCTTAACCAAGAAAGAAGACTTATACATTGAGTGCTACAAAACATTGCTGAAAGAAATTAAAGAAGACACAAATAAATGTGAAGACATCCATTCATGTTCTTGGATTAGACTTAATATTGTTAAAATGTCCATACTAGCTTTGCGCAGTGGCAGTATCCTAGCCAATGAGGTTTATCCGAGGCGCGATTATTGCTAATTAAAATGTCCATACTACCCAAAGCCATCTACAAATTCAATGCAATCCCTAGCAAAATTCCAATGGCACTTTTGCAGAAATAGAAAAAAAAAAAATCCTAAAATTCATACGAAATCTCAAGGGACACCAAATAGCCAAATCAACATGAGGAAGAATAAAGCTGGAGGTCTCACAACTCCAGATTTCAAAACATACAGCAATCAAAACATGCAGTACCGGCATAAAGACAGACACAGACTAAGAGAAGAGAACAGAGAGCCCAGAAATAAGCTCTCGCATATGTGGTCAAATATCTTTGACAAGGGCACCGAGGCTACACAATGGGTAACAGAGAGTCTTCAACAAATGGTGCTGGGAAAACTAGATATTCACATGCAAAAGAATCAAGATGAATTTTCATCTTACACCAAATACAAAATAACTCAAAATGGACTACTGACCTAAATGAAACCATAAAACTCCTAGAAGAAAACATAGGGGAAAACCTTCATGACAATGGAATGTAAATGATTTCTTGGAAATGACACCACAGGCACAGACAACAAAAGCCAAAAAGACAAATGGAACTACATCAAACTTACACATGTCTGCACTGTGGGAAGAAACAATCAACAATAGTAAAAAGGCAACCTACACAATGGGAAAAAATACTGCAAACCATGTGTCAGATAAGGGGTTAATATCCAGAATAAACAATTCCTACAACTTAACAACAAAATAACAAACTAAAAAAGGGCAAGTAGACATTTCTCCAAAGAATAGACATTTGAATAGACATTTCTCCAAAGAAGATAGACAAATGGGCAACAAGCTTATGAAAAACTTAACTGATCATTAGGGATATGCAAGGCAAAAACACTATGGCATTATCAAAATCATTAGGATGGCTAATATCAAAACAAAAATAATGACACAAATAACAAGTATTGACAAGGATGTGGAGAGATTAAAAACTTCTGCACACTGCTAGAAGGCATATAAAATGATGTAGCCACTATAGAAAACAGTATGAAGGTTCCTCAAAAAATTAAAAACAGAACTACCATATGATCCAGCAAGTTCATTATCCAAAAGAATTAAAAACAGGATCTCAAAGAGATACTTGCAAACCCACATTCATTATAGCATTATTCACAATGCCCAAGATACGGGAGCAGCCTAAATACTCATTATTGGATGAATGGATAAATAAAATGTTATACACACACACATATATGTATATATATAATGGAATACTATATGGTCTTGAAGGTAATCCTCCAGAAGGGAGGTTGGTGGGGGTATGGGTGAAATAGGTGATGGGAATTAAAGAGTGCACTTGTGATGAGCACGGGGTGATACATGGAAGTGCTGAATCACTGTATTATACACCTGAAACTGTATGTTAACTAGAATTTAAATATTTTTTTAAAAATGCCAGTATTTACAACATAAAAAAAAAAAAAAGAAGGTAATCCTGACAAATACAACAACATGGATGAACCTTGAGGACATAAGGTTAAGTGAAATAAGCCAATTACAAAAGACACTTTTTATTATTTTAGACCACTTATAAGAGGTCTCTAAAATAATCAAATTCATAGAAACAGAAAGTAGAATGATTGCCAGGGCTGGAGAGACAGGGACATGGGGAACTGTTTCTCAATAGGTATAGCGTTTCAGTCATTCGAGATGAAAAGGTTTTAGAGATCTGTTGTACAACAAGGTGCATAGAGTTAAAAATACTTGTATTATACACTTACAAATTATGAGGGTAAATTTGTTATGTATTTTTTGCCACAATAAAAAAAAGGAAATGAGGCAATAATGTAAGGAGCCAACACCCTTCTAATATAATATTGTACACTGCCACATGACTCTTCAAGGAATAATAGAAGCTAAATGAATATAATAGCATCCTTCTAATTACTTATAGAAAGGAGCAGGTTTAATTCAACTGTTTTGAATCTGAGACAGAGAGCTATCCTCATGTACAAACAAAAAATGAAATTTTTCAGATAAATTATATTACATATTTATCTATTTTTAAACATTTTATCAGATATTTGCACTTGAAGAGTCTTCTTCGTATTCAGATAAAACTTTCTAACTACTAGAATAAACTGAGTCCAATACAGGGAAAACCATCAGCATCCAAAATGTCCTTGGTATTAGCCAACAGGACAATAACCAAATGATCTTCCCATCTGTTTTCATTGTTGGAAACCTTAAGAATGCATCTAGAGTAACTCCATACTTGCCAGAATGTCACTTAATCAATTGAGGACTGAAACCCACTTAAAATTCTATGCTCAGGGCGCCTGGGTGGCTCAGTCATTAAGTGTCTGCCTTCGGCTCAGGTCATGATCCCAGGGTCCTGGGATCGAGCCCCGCATCAGGCTCCCTGCTTGGCAGGAAGCCTGCTTCTCCCTCTCCCATTCCCCCTGCTTGTATTCCCTCTCTCACTGTGTCTCTCTCTGTCAAATAAATAAATAAAATCTTTTTTTAAAAAAATTTTAAAAAACAAAATAAAATTCTATACTCAAGATTTATTTTCAGTTTGTAAGGATTAAAATGACATGCCCCCAACCTAATAATAAGACATAGTTGTGTTATATATCTACAATAATTAAGTGTCCAAGCACCCTACTTCACACACACACACACACACACACACACAATCCCAATCTGCACCTATTTTCATATGCTTAGAAGTGAAGTATAATGCATAAAATTGCAATGATCAGGCACACAAAAAGTTTACAAAAAAGTCTAAATCCCAGTTTATATTTTTATTAATGTTTACAGATAATGAAAACACACAAATTCTTTCAGATTCTGAACCCATGAGCCTAGGCTAGTTTACAAGGCGCCTTACTAACCATACAAAACCCAACTATGATTGAACCCCAAAGGCCTGTATATAGATAGATGTGAAGACAATAAAGGAATGGTTAAGAGCCATGTGAGAGGGGAAGATAAGCATCAGTGGGGCTGTGAGAAAATAAGAACAGAGTAAGAAACATTAACCCAAAGTAAACTACGACTAAGTCTTGTAGGTAAGAACTTGTAAGTAATTAAATTTAGGTACTAACTTTCAGGACCTCTCTATCCCCTTCTAGCTTACTATACCATCAAAAGGCATAAGCCAGGTACATCAAATCTTGTTCTAAGAGGTGTTTTGTATCATGATGTTTGGCCTTACTTCGCTCTTTAACCTCCAGTATATTCTCCAAAAACAAAAACAACCTCAAATACTGATGCAGCCAAATGTTTAAAGTACCAAAATGTAAAAGTGACCAAACTAGCTCAGAACCCTTTATCATCTTCCCATTCCTGCCAAGGTTAAGCCCTAGCCATCCCACCAAGAGTCTCTGGGAACTTTTCATCAAGGCTTGTCTCCCTTTTCTGTACTTTGCATTTATTTGCTCTGTTCTGATATGGATAAATCCACTAACCTGTGTTGTTGGACTGCCAGGCCTTTCTAGGCTGACACCAAGGTTTAGATTCTCAGCCTAGCTCTCCAAGCTGGCACTGATCTTCAGTTCTGCTTTTCAGATCTTTCTTGGCTCCATGCTACTCTCCCCATGTCTAGCCAGGCTTCTGGAACCTCTGCCTGAATCCTACTTCCCAGTTCCCTAGTTGTCTAAGGAAAATAAGGTGCTTAGGTGATAATATGCTGATGTATCATTTTGTGAAAGTATTAAAACAAACTCCAATGTAGCAGGGACTTGGATTGCCAAATTAATATTCCTTTTGGGTGAACAGTGGCTTAGAGCAGGGTCACCTGCAGTGCACAGTTCCAGGAGTACCATTCACTTTGTTGTTCCTGAAATGTAGGTTTCAGGGGCTGGCACTGATATAGGTACAATATAAATGGTGTACATGATACACTGCTTTCAAGGGAAGCCACACTTAATTGAATACCAAGCCATTATGAAATCTTCAGTTTTTGTTTTTTAAAACTAATATTACATAATTCCTGGTAAGTATGCATAGTAAAATGAAGTAATATCGGAGAATTGCCCTCCTCATTATCTATCTTAAAAAAACAAACAATAGTTTTAAAACACAGCCAAACAAAAGTAACGAGCAGAAACTTTAGGAAAGGGACACGACTTAAAGCCAGAATGTAGTAGCCAAAAAAGGTACTGAAGATTTTTAGTAAAGCTTGGGGTGAGTTCTAGTCCTGCCCCCAATGGCAAAAGCAGTACTGGTGAGTAGACAAAATCCTGACAATTCTTTTCTTTTCTTTTTTTTTTTTTTTTTGAGAGAGAGAGTGCCCATAAGCAGGGCAGTATGGAAGAGGGGAAGAGGAAGAGGGAGAGAGAATCCCAAGCAAGCTCCATGCTCAACACGAGCCAAACCCAGAGCTCAGTCCCACAACCCTGAGATCATGACCCCAGCCAAAATCAAGAGTCGGACACTTAACCGACTGAGCCACCCAGGTGCCCCAAAATCCCGAGAATTCTTAATAATATTTTGGTACTGGGGGAAAAGGAAATGAGTCTGGAGAGAACAGAAGCTGGTGAAGAACCGAACGGTGAGCTGGTCTCTCTCTCTCTCTCTCTCTCTCTCTCTCTCTCTCTCGGGGCTCTATGCTGAAATGGGAGATCAAACAAATTCAGGGGGTATTCTCCCCAGTAGAGAATTCTCCCCTCTGCCATGTGAAAGGAAAGGAAAAAGACTTATAAACTGCTTTTTAAAAAAAATATTTGAAGGCAAGATCAGACTAAACAAAAACTGACTCAAAATAAAGAACTCAAGAAATATTAAAACAATATTTCCTAAAGAGCCCTCAAATGAACAAGTGACATATCAAAACTTCCATAACCCCTCACTTCACATCAGTTTCTTTTTCCTCTGCTAAATTCAAATAAGAGTATAAATTTCTTACTATAAAGCAGCACATGTAATAGTATGTGTCCATTAATCCACACACCCACAGACACTGTATGTGTCCATGTGGGCACAGACATGACTGGTGTGATGGTCACCTAACAGTTCATTTCTGAGTGACAGGATTAGATGGCTTTAAAAAAGCTTTTTTCCTTTATGCTTTGCAGCACCGTTTGGATCATTTGTAATACACATGCACCATTTTTATTTAAAAAGGATATACGGAGTGAGAAGGCCTACCGAAGGTTTTACACATGCTCAAGACAATCTGCAAACTTCCAGAGAGAAAGGTCTGCCGATCACCTCACTTAAGTCTCTATAAAATCCTTCCAGGCTAGTGCTAAGGGAAGTGGGGCACAGAAACACTACAGTCTCACTGTGTACCAACTTTTAAAGTGGTCATCAAAACATTCACAAAAGAGGTCTTTCCTTAACCATGATGTGGTCTTTGTGATCTTGGAGTGGCTGCAGTTCATTAAAACTACTTCCACTTACACAAGGCTATATTCGGATTTCAATACAATATTTCCAGGCATTAAAATGTCATTTCATGAATAGTGTATCTTCTATTCTACCTTTAATAAGTAACTACTCCTAAATCCCCTCAGTGAAAGAATTATGTCCAAAAAAAGGGAAAAAGAGGGGCACCTGGGTGGCTCAGTCGTTAAGCGTCTGCCTTCGGCTCAGGTCGTGATCCCAGGGTCCTGGGATTGAGCCCCTCATCGGGCTCCCTGCTCGGCAGGAAGCCTGATTCTCCCTCTCCCACTCCCCATTTGTGTTCCCTCTCTCGCTATGTCTCTCTCTGTCAAATAAATAAAATCTTTAAAATTAAAAAAAAGGGAAAAAGAGTTCATCTAACTAAAATGCGTATCTGCGAGTTAAAACCTAATAAATTTTATGTATGAATTCCCTAATATATTAAAATAAGAAACATACAGGGCTCCTGGGTGGCTCAGTCGGTTGAGCCTCCAACTCTTGGTTTCGGCTCAGGTCGTGATCTCAGGGTCATGGGATCAAGCCCAGCACTGAGCTCCGGGCTTAGCGTGGAGTCTGGTTGCGATTCTCTCCCTGTGCCTCTGCCCCTCCCCCTGCTTATGCATGCTCCCTCTCTCTCTCTCTCAAAGCAAACAAATAAAATCTTTAAAAAATAATAAAATAAAATAAGAAACATACCAGCAGAGGTGCTTCCATTGTCTTAATAAATCGATGAATATTCAGTGTAGTCAGTGGTGGTTCCATCAGTGTTCTTCTACATTGCTCAGTCAAATCCAAGACTTGTTTACAATGAAAAAAGTAGAGATGTGCATTTTCGATATCCTCAGTGCTACAAATTAAAAATTAGGGACAGATTCACTTGAAGAAGTTCAATGTGTTATCTTTCTACCATCCAGAAAGACATAGTTCCAAATATCTTTAAGTCTCATGCTTTTGAATTACTGTTGTAGTAAAAATCTAAAACAGTAAAACAAAATAAAATGGACCTAAGCAAAAGAAGAAACAAACAGTTTTAGAGTTGTATAAGCAATTTTTTCCCTAAACTTCTTGATATGGTAGCTTCTAAATTAGGTTATGGACAGGTCCACACAATTTTTTTTTTTTTTTAAATAAAAGGCTGTCACCTTGAGGACAAGGAGATTATCTTCGAATATAGTTGCTTTTCTAGAGCTATTCTAAATAAAGCCTTGTAACACAAATTTTCTAGGTTTAATTTAAACTCAAATCTGTTTTGAATAAACTTCAGCCAAAACATGCCTTAAGATAGAAACCATGTGACAGTTTGTGGGAGTTTGTGAGTTTGTATCTGAAATATTACAAAACTCAGCAAATATGGCTTATAATTTGAGTTCTGGCATCCCTTCAACATGAGAATTCAAAGATAAACTTATAGTGGGTAAGTAAGGCTTGCCAAAATTAAAATAGCATTTTAAAAATCTCCATATGGCATTAGCAGGGTTTGGCAAAATACTGCAAATTTTTATTTTTAAAATGTTATTTTAATTCTGGATACACGCTTAAACTGAGATCTGAGGTTCACTGATTTCAAATTTAATTATAAACTAATTTCTAATAGATTTAATGGTTAAAGAAATGATCAAAGATTATTTAAAGTCTACTCTGTGTTGGGCCCTGTACCAAATACAAAAGACTAAGATGAATAAGATGACTCAAATCTTTGAGGGGCTTAGATAAAAGGAGACACATTTAGTTTTTTTAATGTAGTTTGTAAGTGCTATAATATGCAAAGTACTATGAGAAAAAAAGAAATATTTCATTCTGCCTCAAGTCATAAAGGAGAAAGAAGGAAAGGGAAAAGAAGATCACAGAGATTAAAAACAGTAAAGGAAAGAAGGACTTCCCGAAGAAGACAAATGGGTACTTCCGACAAAGGAACTATACAGCCAAGACCCAATTAAAGTACTTAACTTTTGAACTCTTAAACTCAAAGTACGTATCTTTTGAACTATTTAGGTTCTCATATAGTCACATATATTAAAAGGAAATAGTCACATATATTAAAAGTAAAGTATTGAAAGCAGGAGGACCCAGTTGAGGTTGGACATCATAACCTCTGAAATAATAAAGTAATTTTGGAAAGTAATTTAATCAGAGATCATTGGTTGTAGGTAACAGAAACCAAAAAGGTGGGGAGGGGGGCTTACTGGAAGTGTAGAACTACATATCACAGAACACAAGGAAAATTCAAGTAATTAGATCAGAGAATAAATGTATAGATCTGAACAGCAAGAGTTCAAGGGACCTTCGTTTTGCCATTAATACTTTTCAGTTCCCAACTCTCTTTATAAAGATAACTCTCCCTTCTTTACTTCTACATGGTCAAAATATTCCTATGAGCAAGAGAGCCAAAACACTGTATAATCCCATTTCTCCATGCCCAATTCCAAGTTCCTGAAAGAGGGCATCTCATTTGCTCAGGTAAGCCAGTGGGCTGGTTGACCCCAGATCAGGTGGCCACCTCTGATCTGACTGACGGTAATATGTATGGTGTGAGGGGGTAACATCCTTGGCCTATACACAGATTCTTTAAGAGGGGAGTATGGGGAGGTCACAGAAAGTACTGGTGTCTCCATGGCACACCACCTCTTATACTACCTATCCTATACACCCTCCTTAACCAACATATGATTTCAAACAAATTCAGGCCATGTAATGATTAATATACTAGACTTTATCCAGTGTCATAGCTCCAGCAACTGGAATAGTGCCTAGCACATAGAGGGCATTCAATAAATATTTGTTAAATAAAAGAATGAACAAATGAAAGAAAAAATGCATTCATTCATTCCATTAGAAGACAACCCAAAGTCCTAGCCAACTACTTCATCCAGAAGTCATGCCATAGGATTATAGTACTCTGAATGCACAGTCCCTCCCTGTCATATCAGGTCTAAGTATGACTCCTTACCATCTTGCTATCCATGAATAAATGAGTACTGAAACATATCCAATGTATGTATCAAATACTCAAAAGTATACCAAAAAAAAAAAAGTAACTGGACATTTTAGAATTCTCATTTTAAAAATAGGGGAAAGCAAAAACCCTTCCAGAACATGACCATGTTTAGCCATAGATCAGAATATGCTATGTATATAGTATAGCTTGCTGAACAGATTTTGTAGGATAAATGATAGGACCTACGTATTGCTAATAAATAAATACTCTTCTGTGTTTTAAGCATGTCATCTTTATTTGCAACTATTCATCACCTGAAAAATAAGTACATAAAAAAAAGTACAAACAATTGACCGTCAGCAAAACTGCGGGGCTACCATAGAATTGCCATGAGATGAGAATAATCAGGCTTCCCCCATTCTGGGATGGGAAACTGGCAGTCTACGTTGGGAGTAGCAAAGCAGCTGCCTAAACCACTGCTTATCGTATCCTGAGACTCAGTGACTTACAGCAAAGCTTTGCGGTACTGTCAGCAGAAGTCCCAAATTGTTAAAAATATTAATTTTTATACAAACAGTAATCATACATTAAACTTTTCTTTAATTCATTAATGAGGGAATCAGCAGAATGACAGTTCAATCAGAAGAGATGAATGAGAAAAGAAATGCTCAACGGGGATCCTGCTTCTCTCTCTCCCTCTGCCTCTCCCCCTGCTTGTGCTTACTCTCTCTCTCTCCTTCTGATAAATGAATAAATAAAACCTTTAAACAAACAAACAAGCTCTTGCATGGTATAAAAAGTTCACACAATCACCATTTTGTCTTGCTTTGTATTAATTTTCTTGAAGAGCATTTTGAGGCAAAGTCTTTAAAATACACACTGGTTATTCCCTGTGTTCTACAAGCACCAAAGGAAAGAAAAACTTCAACCCTAGGTTGCCCAGGTAAAAAGTCAAAAGAAGGCCTCTACCTGAAATTGTAAGCTAAAAACTAGACAAGAAAAATAAACATTTAAAACATTCTGCTCAAAAACTGTACTTAAATACATTTAAGACTAGCCTAACAAAGTAACTTACAGAACTCTCAGGAAGAACTTCTGGAGCTTAGTTATGAAAGCTGTTATTTTATCACCTATCTGATCACTGTGGGAGATCCATTCCTAAAATACACTTGGCCACTCGTGGGATCACATATTGTGCTTATCCATATTGTCTTTATTCACCTTAGCCTAACATCATCTCTGCATATTTAAATTCATTTTCAGACTGTAGAATGGCAGACAATAATAATGAAGGGGATTTCCAGTTTCATTTATATATTCCCATCGGTGCTTACAATTCCTCTCGGTAAGTCAATGATGTGAGAGTCTGATGGAGATGTTGAATAGGTAATGTGAAAGAAGCAAACTTAAAACTGTTGACATATGCCTCTTGTACATACCCAATACTTTCCAAAAGGGCAGTTTCCGTGGTTAGGACAAACTGGTACGTAGTCCCATACACAAAAGCAGCTTCCATGACTGCTCTGTGCTCTGAAGAGGAGACAAGACAGTTGGGAGACACAAGAAGTTAGTTTGTGTGACTCTCTTCTGAATACTGCCCTACACTGTTTTAGGCTCTATTATAAAGAAAAATTCCTGGTAGGGATCCCAGTCGGGCAAATGCAGGCAGTTAAAGAAATTAAGAGTTAACAGGAAATAGAAATGAGTTATACTTGAGAATACAACATATGACAAATCTGTGACAGTTTCTTCCTCGTAGTAGGGGAGAGTCTCTACAGAGACTATGCATCCACCATCCAATTTTTATATGTTATATTTTATCTATGTGTATGCCTGCGTATTGTTTCTGGCTTGGTTTTCTTTTAATCAAACTTATCCTTATACATAGTTTAAAAAGAAACAATTCTACAAAACATATTAAGAAAAACAACAATTTCTCCCCCCTGCCCCACCCACCTCCACCCCATTTCCAATTCCCAAGGGACAGCTGCTTTCAATTCTTTTACTGTTTCTTTTGGTATTTACCTCCAAGTCTTTAAATGACATTCTTACACTCTTATTTCCTGATTTTTTAAAGTGTTATTAATATTATCTATTGACTTCCCACTATGGCAGATGATAACTCAGCTCTTTCCCAAAACCTCACTCCACAAACATGCACACTTCTATCCCCTCAATGATCCCAATATAGTTCTAATTTTTATTAGCTCAATTATCTGTATTTACATTGTCATAACTCAGTGTATACTATTTACAAGTGAGCCATAGAGTGCAAAATGAACGTTTCTCCTTTTTTGAGCAACTTTTTCACCAGTTATACTTTTTAATTTGTTTAAATTCATTTCTAATTTATTTCTAAATTCTTCGACTACTGGCTAATGCTCTCAATACTTCAAATAGATCAGCACACTAGCAGTTCCCTCTTCTTATAGACATTTCTGGAGAGCCTACTGATTTACTGCATTACGGACTCCTGCGACTGGGCCTGCTGCAGAGCTTCTATCTTGGGAACTCACTACTCACTTCATCATCATCCTGGGAATTCTCTTACTCTTTCTCCTTTGTTGGGTCCTTTGTCCTGTTATCCACATCCTCTTGACTGATTTGCTCCCTTGCTCCCATTCTCTAGCACCTTCTTGTGAGAGGATATATGAAATACACATATTTTGTGACCTTACGCTTCTGAAAGTGTCTTTATTCTATATTGTAACTAATTGTAGTTGTCTGCATATTGAATTCTACGTTCAAGTCATTTCCCCTGAGAATTCTGAAAGCATTGCTCCATTTTCTTCAGTTTCTAGGGCTGCAACTGAGAAGTCCAATGCGATTCTGATTCTTGATCCTTTAACTGTATACTCTTTCTGTATGGAAGCTTTTCGAACAGTGTTTGTTCCCAATATTCTGCACCTGCAAAATGAGATGCTTTGGTGTGGCTCTACATTCATCCATTATGCTGGGATTCAGTGAGCCCTTTCAGTTCGGAAGCTCAAATCCTTTAGTCCTGGGAAATTTTCTCAAACTATTTACTTGAAGCATTTCTTCCTTTCCATTTTATTTTATTTTCCCTTTTCTCCTCACTGCCATTTCTAGGCGTCATCTTCCTCACCCCCACTGAATCTGCTACCACGCGAGTCAAGTGTCATCAGAGTATTCCACTCACCATTCTGCCTTGGAGTCATCTACCACCCCAGCCAGAAACAACCCCCTTCATTCCACAAAAATAATTTAGCTTCTTTCACATTGTCATTCTCTCCAATACTATTTCCTCATAATCCTTGGTGATTTTATTATCCTCATAGATGATACTTGCCAATCCTAGCCTCTCAGTCTTTGGTCCTCTCTAGAGATTCCAGTGATCTCTCTTCAAGTCGACCTTAACCACCTGCTGCTATGGTCCCACACCAGGCCTTATAATTACCAATCACTTGCAAACCCCTCCAAAATCTCAAAGTCTAGCATTCCTCCAACCCCTTCCTTCCATAAACACACGCACCCTTCCATCTCCAGGTAACTCTGTCTAGCACATAATCCCCCAGGAACTACAGTCTTATCGTTTTCACTGTCCTCCACTCCTTCAGGTTTTCTCTTCCTTCTTAGCCCAGCTTACATTCCATGATCAGTCTTTATAATCACTCCCTTATCTGGCTAAAATGCAATCCAGGTTAAGTCAGATACTCTGCTTATTCTGTACTAAGTAAACATGGCTGCAGGGGAAAAAAAAAACAAAAACCTATTAGCATCACCACACTAATGATCTCACTTTATATATTTTTAAAAGATTTTATTTATTTATTTATTTATTTGAGAGAGAGAGAGAGAGAGAACACAAGCAGGGGAAAGGGCAGAGGGAGAGGATCTTAAGCAGACTCCTCACTTACACAGGGCACAATCCCACCACCCTGAGATCATGACCCGAGCCAAATCAAGAGTCCGACACTTAACCTACTGGGCCACCCGGGCACCCCATGATCTCACTTTAGATTACTGATATCAAATATTATTGCTGCCTGGCAACCATTCTTTTTTTTTTTTTTTTAAGATTTTATTTATTTATTTTAGAGAGAGAGAGAGAGCACAAGCTGGGGGTATGGGACAAAGGGAGGGGGAGAGAGAATCTTAAGCAGACTCCCCACTCATGGTGGAGCCCCACACAGTGCTCGATCTCAGGACCCTGAGACCATGACCTGAGCTGAAATCAAGAGTCAGACACTTAACAAGCACCAACCATTCTTTATTTTCAGGCCTTCTAAAACAACTATTTCATCTCTTCTCTCTTCAAACTATCTGATGATTTTATTTTTATTTCACTGAGAAAACATAGCCAATTACAAAAGCAAAACCAAAAAAAATTCCACAAGCATATTTATCTGCCCACTTAACAAAACTGATGCTCATATTCTCTGTCTTCCCTCCATTTACCATAGATGAATTTTCTGTGCTCCCAGCAAAGAACCACATCTCCCCTCATTCACTAGATTTCATCGCTTCTTGTTGACTCAAAGATGTTGTTCCAGTAATTCTCCCTGCTTTTTCCTCCATGCTGTAGTTTATGCTTTCTACTGGATCTTTCTTGTCAACATACAAATATACTTCTCAAGAAATTCTTCACTTGACCTACATACTCTTCCAGTCACTGCCCATTTTCCTCCTTCCCTTAACAGCAAAATTTCTCTAATGAGTCTCCATATTCACAGTCCCCAGTTGTTCTCTACCTAGTCTCTTGTACCCCTATCAGGCATTTACCCCACTTTACAGAAACTGTGCTTGTCAAGGTCACCAACAAATTCCATAGTGCTAAGCATAATTAGGCCAATTGGCAGCTCTTACCCTAATTAATCTTTCAGCATCATTTGACACAACCGTTTCTATCTCTTCCTTAAAACCCTATCTTCACTTTGCTTACAGGATATTCCTACCACACAGTCCATTCCTCCTGTCTCTTTATTCCATCTCACTTCAGTGACCTGTAGATGTTGACAGATCTGAACAGTTCAGTCTTCTCTTTCCCATCTAGCATCACTCACTTTGTGATCTCTTCTGGTCTCACAGCTTTATCCCCCAAATTTATAGCCCTAGTCTGTATCTCCACCATCAAATGCGGACTCATAGCATCCAACTACCTTGCTGACATATCTCCAAAGATGTCTACAGGGTATTTCACAAGTATGATGTCCAAATGTGAATTCCAGAGCTTCCTCTCCAAACTGTCTATTTTCAATCTACCCCACCTCAGTTATCAGCAATTTCACCTTTCAAGTAACTCAAGCTAAAACCCCAGAGCTACCGTGGTCTGTGCTATTTCTTTCTCACTCCACATCTAATATGTCAGCAAATTCAGTTAGTCCTACAACCAAAATACTGGCTGAGTTCAAATTTATTGCCACCTCCACTAACACCCTGATCCAAGCCACCCACCATCATCTCATCTCTCACCTCCCTTATTGCAATAACTTCCTAATTTTCCTTCCTTATTCTACTATTCCTCCTTCCAGCCTATTCCAAACACAGAAGTCAGACTGATCCTGTTAAAATACAAATCAGGGAGTTCTGGTTCCACTGTAGCAAGGTAAACTCTCTCTAGCTCATCCTTCTCATTGACGACAATTACAAACTATGTACAATAACCTGAGAACCCTGTAAAGTAAACAAAAACAGGCGAATTGTAGAGCATTATTTTACAAGTATATTAAATTTGTGGCATGCTATGTAGCCATCAAACTTTATGTTTATTTTTTTTAAAGATTTTATTTATTTATTTGACAGAGAGACAGACAGAGAGAGAACACAAGCAGGGGGAGCAGCAGAGGGAGAGGGAGATGCAGGCTCTCTGATGAGCAGGGAGCCCAGTGCAGGGCTTGATCCCGGGACCCTGGGATCATGACCTAAGCCAAAGGTAGACGCTTAACCGCTGAGCCATTCAGGTATCCCAAGCTTTATGTTTATAAAAATTGTGATTTCCAGTAAGTGATTTTATTTCATAGAGCATATACCATTTTAAAAATATCTTTAACATCTTATATTAACATGATCAAGTTAAAACCATTAACAAATGAAAGTCCTGAAATCATAATAATAATTTGTTCATAAGATGCTTATAAACTTCTTTACTACAAAATTACGTAATTTTACATATTACAGCTCAAGGTGATGCTGTCAAAATTATATATTTTTTTAAATCAGGAAAAAGTCATAAATAGCAAATGTTAAAATAAAACAGAAAACCATTGTCAATATTATCAAATACTGTAAACTACTATACCAGGTACCATGAGGACCATAAGGAAATAAAAATAGTAACTAACGCTTATAGGACACTCCTATACATCAGGAACTATTTTAATTATTTGAATTCATTTGGTCCTCACAATAACACTAAGAAGTAGGCATAGTTATTTTCACCATTTTATTGATTAGGAAACTAAAGTTACATAAGTTGTGCAAGGTCATAGTGTAAGTCATGGGGGCAGGGCATCTAACTAGGCAATCTGGCTATAGGGTTTTTGTTCAATCACATTACTAAGCTGTCTGCTTAAAGAAAGAAAACTTAATGGTAAGGATGCTATTTTAAGTCCTTCAACATACGCAGACAAGTGCAGAGGCACAACAAAGATTAAGAGAAAAGTTAAATACCTGGCGTTCCAATGGCTCTTACATAGGAGAATGCAATGTTGGCTTTTCCTTTCAGAGCATTTTCTATGTTCTGAAGGTCTTCCAGAGTGGTAATATATTTTACTTCATTAAAAAGAAGAGCACTGAAATAAACAGAGATGTTATTGGTAGAAGAACCTGATACGTAGTTATTTAATATGTATTTTCAGTAAGTTAAAGAACCTAATCAAAAAGAGAAACTTAACTCTTTTGAACAAATTATCAGTAGTAAGAACCTAAGCATTTTTTTAAAAGATTTTATTTATTTGAGAGAGAGAGCATGTCTGAGCACAAGCAGGTGGAGGGGAAGAGGGAGAGGGAGAAACAGACTCACTGCTGAGCAGGGAGCCTGACGCAGGGCTCAATCCCAGGACCCTGGGATCATGACCTGAACCCAAGGCAGACGCTCAACCAACTGAGCCCACCCAGGCACCCCAGAACCTAAGCATTTTAATACTGAATTAAAATCACTCTCTCAATCATTTGTCTATACCTGAGAACATCAGACAGGAACAGTTGCGAGAAATGGTGCTCCTTCTCCATCACAACTACCTTAATGTATTTAAGTTGTATTCACTAATATCCTACTTTGGCCCAATAATCCCGTAAACATCTCTCAGGCTTGAACATATTTGAACCCTTTACACGTCTAAACTGAAGGCTCTTTTCCACAGCATACAAGGCTCTGCATGACCTACTTCTCCAACTCCATTTTGTTTTACCATTTCTCATGTCTACCATACTTTAGGCACACCTCAAGGCCTTTGCACACACAGTTCTCTTTGCTGAAAACTACTCTCTCTGCTCCTTCTCATGTATCTGGTCTTAGTTTAAACATCACTGCCTCAGAGAAACCTACCCTGTTGGTCCTCTGTAATTAGGTCTGTAGCATTTTTCTCTTTAATTTCACACTATTTGATCCTTTGTAGCACTTATCACAATTTGTAATTGCTTATATATTTATTTACTTGTTTATGCCTGCATCTTTTATTAAAACTGTTACCTTCCTGAGTCAGGGCCTTGCATATTTTAATCACTATAATAACTTAGAATAGAGCCTAGTACATTCTAAGCAATCAATATTTGTTGAATGAATGAAAGAAAAAGCAGGGTAGGAATTATTTATTCCCATTCATTTGAAGAAATGCAAATCCAAAACATGGAATTGAGGAGCCAGGAACAGAACATAAGACAGGTCTCTTTGTTCCTAATTCAGTGATCTTTCCACCTGACCATAATTCTTCCAGATCATCTTTTCAATGTGTAGATCAGACTAATTAATCATATTTCTTCATCCAAAAGAATTTCCTTTTTAAATTTTCTACTTCTATATAAATTATCTATCCCTAACAGCTCATCCCACTTAATCCTCCACATGCATGTGTGTGTGTGTATGTGTGTGTGTGTATGTGTATATTTTAGGCTAAACTTCAAGGATTTTTAAAAACTGTTCCAAGTCCATATACTTAAATAATCAAACTGTCTCCAATAAATTAGTCAGCCATAGTTTCCTTTTATGGAAAACACGGCACTTTCTGAGAATACAACAGTTCTCAAACTTTTTGGTCTCAGGATCCTTTGTACCTTTAAAAATCACTGAACTCCTCAAAGAGCTTTTGTTTATGTAGGTTACCTCTATTTGTAGTTACCAAAATAGAAATTAAAACAGCAATTTAAAAATATTTGTTAATTCTTTAATAATAAACACCACTGCATATTAACACTCTATTTAAAAATAACTAAATTTTCCAAAACAAAAGAAAAATTTGGTGATAAGAGTGGCATTGTTTTATATTTTTGCAAATCTCTTTACTATTTGGGCTAAATAGAAGACAGCTGGATTCTCATATCTGTGTCTTCACTCAATCTGTTGTGACATCACACAACACATCATATAGCCTCTGGAAACTGAATTCATAAGAGAATGAAAATGAAAAAGGCAAATAAGGTCTTAGTATTATTATAAAACTATTGTGACTTAATGGATACCCTGAAATAGGTGCCCTAAATTACACTGGCTTACATATTTACCTATACATTATAGATTTCTTCAATTTTTTTTGAAGAAATGTAAAACTTAATCTTCTGTAATTCCCAGGGCTCTTTAAAGGAAATATTTACTGAGCAGTACTATTTGCTAGATATTTTCACATGTTTTCATTTAAATCCTCAATGGTATTATTTAAATATTTTTTTGGTAAAAACTGTGCTATTTTATTTTAAACATATCGTTTACAAAAAAAAAAAAATCAATGATTGCTACCTTTTTACACTCTCAGATTCCTTAATATAGACAGACCTTCCTGTTGAAATATCCCCTTACAGTTTCAGTCAAGGAGTGTATCATGACCACCAGGGCTCCCTCCATGTGGTTTAGTTTGTAATCAACATAGTATTCCTGGGCAGACATGGCAGCCATCTGATGCATGGTCCATTTCTGCTTTTGCTTCCTGCACTGCATGACAAAGCACTATCTGAGCTGCCTGAAGCTGGCTAGGAAACACTTTCAGGAGACAGAGAGCACCAGGACCACGATGAGGCAGGAGAAGATGAGGGCCATGGTGCCTGTGACCATCTTGTGGATCTGCATGGTGTTATCAGCATGCTTTCTGGGGGGAGAGCCATAGTAGCCAGCTCCTACGTGCCATCGAGCTGCCCCCCTCCCTGCCGTCAGCAAGTATGGTGGCCGGACTGGCTGGGAGCCCAGGTCACTGTGGTTGTGACGGCCCAGAGCAGATGGCCGCTGTGGACTTGGCCCCAACCTCGAAGAGGCAGAAGGTGCACACGGCATCTAGGATGTCTTTGCCCTGCACGTACTCCCGACTGGCACACTGCGATTTGTCATCATAGCACCCCTGGAAGCTGTGGAGCCATGAGGCCAGGCCGCACACATTACGTCCACAGTCCCATAGGTTCCTGGCCAGGATGATGCTCATCAATGACTTGAGGATCCAGGGCTCGATGTAGATGAGGCGGTTGGAGTCCAGCTGCAGAGACCGCAGGTGCAGCAAGGTCTCAAACACATGGGGCTCCATGTATTTGATCTTATTGCCCAACAGGTCCATTTTCTCCAAGTTCCAAACCCAGTCCAGTGAACTAGCCACAATGGCCACCTTGTCCCTCTTCAGGCAGAGGGAGTGTAGGGAGATGAGGCATGGGAGGTGGGCGAAGTTCACTTTGACCAAGTAGGTGTGTTCCAGGTGCAGCTCAGTGAGATTGAACAAGTCAGCAAAAGAGTTGCATGCCAGACTCCAGCTGACTGTATCTGATCTAAATATTCTTTATTATACACACATGGAACAACCTGAGGGATTATGTAACCTGTCCAGATCAGAGTGGTAGTCACAGGTAGAGCTGAGATTCAAATCCAGGTCTTCTGACACTGAGGCCAGAACTTTCTAAACTATGTTTAGTACTGACCACTCATAAATGGGAAACCAGGTGAAAAGGGAAGCAACTAATGAATGGCAGGGGAGTCTCGGTGGCAACCTGGGTTGTTTGTTGCTTATACATTTTGGCTAACCTGTCCAGAATTACCCTTGAAATATTTCAGTCCAGAGGGAGAGGACATCTAGTGAACTTAATTGGACTAGCACGTAAATTCTAGGCTTGGAAATTACATCTGCCCATTTATCTTTATTGCTCTAGCAGATCTAATCCACTTGCTTCAAAAATCCTATCTGGGAGTACAAATCTCCCTAACCTTGTTTCTCAGTAAAACTGGCAAATATAGGGGCGCCTGTGTGGCTCAGTCGGTTAAGCGGCTGCCTTTGGCTCAGGTCATGATCCCAGGGTCCTGGGATCGAGTCCCGCATTGGGCTCCCTGCTCTGCGGGGAGCCTGCTTCTCCCTCTCCATCTGCCTGCTTCTTTGCCTACTTGTGCTCTCTCTCTCTCTCTGTCAAATAAATAAATAGAATCTTTAAAAAAAAAAACAACTGGCAAATATAAATTAACAAAAGCCAACGTTTGGGGGGCACCTACCACATGTCAGGCATAGTACAAAGCACTCCACGGTAGTGGCAATTTTATCAGTCTGGGGACTGCCCAGCTCTGAACTCTCTTTTGCTTTGGGGATTTCCAGTTTTCTATGTCTTCACAGTGGGCAGAGCCCAAATCCCCCCACGAAAGCTAATAATATCATAAATTTGCTCTTCTAGGCTCCCTGCTGCAAGGCACGGCCATATGACCCAGAATCACTTGCCTGACATTCTGGATCAGGAGCCAGTGATGTAAAGAATAAGGGACAGTACAGAATTATTTCAAGAAGCAATAGAGCAATAGTCAGCTTTAAAAGCAGGAGCGACAACAGTGTCAATGACAGCCCAGCACAGGTGAGGCAAGCTGTCGCATCTGACACTCAGCACTAATGCAGCCGTCGCTCCCAGACTCGTTGTGGGTCATGCTTTTGACTCTAATTTAGAACCGTATTAACTCTGAGTCCAGTTCTCCAGCCCTTCTAGCAAGCCTGAGATTTCCTATATCCACTCCAAATCCTTTTCTGCTTAAGCCAGTCAGACCCAGATTTTGAGGCTTTTAACTAAAAACACTCAGAAATGCACTCAGTCTTGCTTAATTTTCATAGCAACCATCTGAGATCAGTACTATCATGAACTCCATTTTAGAGATAAGGTCACGGGGCTCTCTTAGAGAGGTTACCTTGCCTAATGTCCCAAAGCTCATTAAGTAGTCATTATCCATGAGGTAATAATAACCAAAACTAATGACATTCATAATCTAATGACCTCCGTGATTGTTCCCAGTGGCTTCCTAGCTTTAACAAATTTTTAATGTTAATTTCTAGAATATGGGGACATGCAGGGATCTCTAGGATCCATTCACAAGCCTGTGCTCCTTCACTCTAGTCACAAAGAGGAGAACTCCTGACAGAAATGGGTAAAAGGAAAAGCCTGTCTTGGCATTTTCTTGTTTAATGATGGGGTGAAACAGTCTGGAGCTGCTCTGACCCTGGGAGCTCTTCCCGCCCCAGAAAGGCCTTCCTTTTCTTTGGCATGCTTTTCCTGAGACCCTCCTATCAAAACTATAATATGGCCCAGAACTGAACCGGTGCCCAAAAAAAAAAAAAAAAAAAGCAAGGAAGGAAAG